CAGAAATTGATTCATCGACGTAATGCCGGAGTACCATGATAGGCCCATTTTCTTTTGTTCTGTGAAAGCATGTCGAACAAGGGCGTCCGATCCGGAAGTTTCCATGCTTTCTAGTCTTCGAACATAGTTAAATACTTGGGGACTGGCCTCAATAGCAAGAGGGTATCGACCCGTATCGCCCCACACTCCTGCATTGGAGGTTCTTTTGCCGACGCTTATAGTCCACTTTAGGAAGGAGAGGTGAACTTTCTCGATCTGATCTTCGGCAATTTCCTTGAGTTGAGGGAACTTGTTCCGGGAAGAGAATGCCGTCGTGAATTTGGTCTGGGGTAACCATATCTGACAACCGTAAGAGGCGATAGGGAGAACTAAGGCGTCGAAAAGCTTAAATATCACAGTTTTCTTAATTGACTGTAGGTCAATCATACTTTTGAGTGAGAAGTAGCTTCTGATAGCTTTCTGCTTCAATTTCACTTGTGCTAGCTTCAGACTTCCAGTAAGAGTAAATGTTATGCCGAGGTAGGTATATTCTCGGACAGAGGAGATGGATATTTGGCCGTAAGTGAAGTTTTTGCTTTCTTTTAGTATCCTCCCAGCACGGTTGAAAACCATGATAGCTGTTTTAGATATGTTAACTGACAAGCCCCACTCAAGGCAGTAGGATTCGAGAGCATTTTCTGGAGACTCATCGAATTTAGGGCAAGCAGTATTAGATCATTAGCCCAGAGTAAGTGAGTTACTCGTGTCGAATTGATGATAGGCACTTCAACTTCTTCCAGCTCGTTAAGGTCTTCAGAGAGCTGATGGATAAATATCTTAAAGAGTTCAGGAGACATTGGGTGACCCTGTTCTGTGCCACAAAGAACATCAATCCTTTCTGACAGTTTGTTCAAGAGTTTAATTTTCGCTGATGAGTTAGTATACATGTGTTTCAAACAGCTGAAGAATCGGCCTTGTATTCCTAAGTGCCAAATCTTGTATAAGAGAGCTTCTCTGCAAACTGTGTCGAAAGCTTTGGCATTATAGTCGACGAAGCACGCGTAGACTCGCTCTTTCTTCTTTGATATATACTTCTCTACACATGTTGAAAGGGTTAGCATATGGTCAGCAGTTTGTGCTCCTTTGCAGAACCCTAGTTGATTCGAGGTGTCAGGACAAGGAAGATTTCTGAAACTGATCAGGCGCTGTAGAAGTATACCAGAAAATAGCTTCCCGATATTACTAGCAACAGCAATTGCTCTGTAGTTGTTTGGGTCGTATATACTACCTTTTTTGTGCAGCGGGGTTACGACTGAGGTGCTCCAGGGGTAGACACCAAAAGAGAGGCACTGATTGAACAAGTGTAAGATAGCGGTCTGCATGTTCATGTTCGAAGATTTAAGAAATTCGTTCAGGACACAATCCTCGGAAACCGCTTTGCCTCTTTTAAGGGAGTTGATGCATCTAAGGAGTTCTTCGTGTGTTATGTTTTGATCGAGAGATTCAGAGAGTTCCGACTGCAAATTACTCCTAGTCATCCCGTTCTGCAGTTGCTCGATTCTAGTTTCATCGATTGAAGGTTTGCCATATAGATCTTTAAAGAATTTGCAGAAGTTTAGCATGTCAAAGACGTCAAGTTTGCTACCTTCTGTCTTCAGTTCTTTAAGTTTCTTGAATCTTGCCCAATTAATATTGTCACCTGATTCAATATCACTACACAGTTCTTTAAAGAAGGATGACTTCTTAAGTTTGATGAGTTTTCTGTGAATACGACGTTTCTCATAGTAGCTGTTTCTAAGGTATTGGCTTGCCGGGTTTTTTCCGTATGACTTGGAGAGACGATTCAGTTCTCGCTTGCTATTGATGCACGCAGCATCAAACCAGGGTGCTTTGGGTTTCATCCGAGCCTTTTTTCCTCGGTATTTTTTGCGCTTTTTCCTATTTTGTTTAGTATTATTATTAGGAGTAATTTTGTCGGCAACATCATTTAGAATCTTAACAATACCTTGACTTAGACGTATCACGTCTTCTTTGTTATAACATTCAGTTCCTATTATACTTTCAATTTGGTCTGCAAACTGAGGGGTATTTTGTACTGCAATATAGCGATACCGGTTCGCTTCATTTTCAGCCCCGTTCCATTTATGTTTTTGGGGTGCATCTTCCAGGGTTTCTGTTAGCGCTTCCGCGTCGGAGATAACACTTTTACATTTTAGTTTGCAGAAACACGGTTTGTGGTCAGAGAACTTGGTGAGTTCTAGGATTTGGAATGAAGATACTCTCTCGCGGGTATTAGGGGTAGCAGCAAAATAATCAACTACACTGCTTCCGTTGTAGTTAACCGAGGTGAAATCTCCGAATATATCTCCAAGTGTACACCCATTTAGGATTTGTAGATTGTTGCATGCTAAGAAGTCTAGAAAAAGCGCTCCCCTTGACTCTTGAGTTGTGTATTTGGTCCTTACTAATTCTCTCGACCGACTCAGGAAAACTTATAGGGTAATTTACTTCCGGTTCATGTTCATCACTGAGCTCTTCTGGTGTGGTGTTTTTACCGGCAGTTCTTGCATTCAGATCACCTACCAGGAGTGTTTCTCCTAAATTGGGGGTTTTGGCCCTAAATTCCAATAAGAGATCTAATCTATACAATGTAAACTAAAGTGTAAATAATTATTCGCAAGACCTGTGGTCGGAAATGGCTATATCTTTTATACTTTTGAATCTATGGACACTTAAATACAGGCTATAATTTACTGGCAAAGCGTCTATCCCTGAATATATATGTATATCTGTATATGTCCCGACAATCTGTTGTAAAACAGGGGTTCTAGAAAACCCATTTCCCGATGCTCCTGAAACTTGAAACTTTTTTTACAGTCGATTTGGTCAACGTCTAGACGCCCTGCAAAATTTCAGATCTCTAACACAATTTTAACATGGTTTTTAAAGCACCTGAATATGGCGATTTTGGGATTTTTACCGAATTTCGTATAACATGCTGGCGCGTATTTTGCGCAAATTTCTCAAAAACCTTCACATAACTATTTCTTATTCCTGTCATATTTAAAATTAAATTAGAATGTTTTGAACTTAAATATACCTGCTGAACTACTTTCGATGAGTCTTTATGCTTGAAAAACAATAAAGGGGTATACTAGTAAAGGGGGTATAAAAGTCAAGGCGGTAAATAGTAAAGGGGGTAAATAGTAAAGGGGTTAAATAGTAAAGGGGGTAAATAGTAAAGGTGGTAAATAGTAAAGGGGGTAAATAGTAAAGGGGGTAAATAGTAAAGAGGGTAAATAGTATTGTGAATATAAGAGGCACGGTCATGCTTGCCAGCATTGTGATAATACATTATCGGACCTTATTTGGACGGACATTACATGAACGGAAATAATTATGAACGGACATTAATATGAACGCTCGAAGGCATTCAAAACCATCAAAAATCCGAATTTTTTTCAATTTTTTGACGTTTTTTAAAGTTCAGCAAATGATTTTTAAATCCATTTTTTATACAGTAAGTAAGAAAAGCAGTCATTAAGCAGTAAAAATGTTAAAACATGTGTACATGATCAGTGTCTAATATCACATATTATCATCTTCATCAAATGAGTTTTCGTGCATGAAATAGTCCAATGCTTAAAAAAGCATCAGTGATTTCTAGCTTTATGGAAACCTTTTTTTATCAAACTACCCCGGTCCTGCATTTCAGTGTTAACTTTTACAAGCCATTCGGCGTGAAGTGGTTTTATCTTAGACAACTTTAGGTTAACCTTAACATCACGTGGAGCTTTCCTAGCACTGTTTCATTACCTCCCCTCAGTAATATGAACTATAACAACGTCAGACAATGTCCTTGGCAACACGATTTACCGTAATATCTAGAGGCTGGAACAAGTTTGTCATGTTGGCGGGGACTCCGACTAGCTCATGAACTATGTTGTTGAGTGCCATAATTTCGTTGACTTTTTCCGCCAAGTGCCCAAGTGACCCTTGAAAACATCATATTCTAGTAGAGTTTTCTGTGCCTCCGGCAGACCAAGGAGAACCTTTCCGTCGTTAACTTACGGCACAATAAAGTTCTTATAGTTGCATCATATTCTGGACAAAAAGTTCGAAATGGAAAAATTTTTGAAAACATTTCAACGGACATTAACTTGGACGGACATTAATTGAACGGACTTTATTTGAACGGACATTAAGATGAACGCTAGGGCCTCCAGTGTTCAAGTTATGTCCGTCCAAATAAGGTCCGATAAGGTATGTCATAATCCGACTAGCTACCTTCCGGGATTATAACACAATCATAACATTATAACACAATTAAATTTCAATTCACTCGATCTGTTGAAATGTTATCTAAAACCCGCCCTAAACCCACCACATAGAAACACCAATTCCAGGAGTTGACCTAGCTCGGAAGTCCCATGTCTGCCCGCTGAAGAGAGAGAGAACATTAACACAATTCAATTTTAATTTAATCGATCCGTTAAAATGTCCCAAATGTTAACGAAAATTCTTTAAGATAATTGTCTGAATTTCGGGTAAGGGGTCGTTCACATATAATATTACGTAACAGCCGAGGGGGAGGGGGTTCCCAAATGATTATGGGGGAGGGGGTCAGGGGGGGGGGGGGGTAGGGTTGGCTGTTGATTAATACGTGAACAAAATTTTATTTTTACCCTTTAGAATAATAACACTTTGACAATATTTTAATTCAAATATTCAATTTCACTTTGATAGTGATGAAATTTAGGAATGGATCGGGTATCCGGCTGCTAAAGTAAGTAGTTGGGAAGGTGCTTGGCCGGACATCATAAGTATAACAATGATTTCGGCTCATAATGATTAGGGTAGGCGTAGCATGAAACGTAGAGAAAAGTTTTTTCCAGGGGAAAACAATCAATAAAGGGAGGGGTTGGGGGTGAAAATTGCTAAAATATTGATTACGTAATATTTGAACGACCCCTAAACACTGTTCATGGGAAAGGGAAGAGGGTAAAACTAAAACGCTAGGCTTGTTATCAATACCAATAGAAAACAAAACTATCAATTTCAAATAATATAACAAATTCAATGTCACCAAAAAGTCGCATGGTTTAATACAATAATATTATCTTCATCAAAAACCCTGCAAGTGCAATGCGATAAAAATTTCACACAAATTCTCGGATTACCGAGCAAAATTATTAACACTATATTTGGCTATTATAAACTATAACTGTTCTAACTTTCTGATACACTCCCTTAGTTCTGATAGAGCAACTCCATACCAGAGATTCCATTTCTCGAGAAATATTCGCAAGAAGAAGTTCCACACGGTGATCAGTTTTTCGTTGTCTTAAATTGCCATTTCAATTCATAAATTCCAACTTCTCGATCCTGAAATTATGCATCAATCAATGAAAGTTTGTAAACAGAAGACATATCATTATAAATAGAATTTTTAGTGATAAAACTCTAGAAACACTACAAGATAGAAAGCACATAGGCCTAATATAAAGCACAGGACTCACCTCTTTTTCATCGTAATCACACCACTCCTTCTCTCCAAGATCTACATCAGGGAAGGAGGCCCCGCTATCAGCTGCAGTCGCTATCCATCCTGAAAGGGAATATAGCACGGTGGAATGGTAGAAAGATAACAAATATATTAATGCATTCGTGTAACCGTGAGCCAAATTGTTATGTAACCAAACTATTACACCAATAACGCTAATTTCGTGAGAGCTAATCAAAATGTCCGTTTTCAAAGCAAGAGACAGAAAGATGCTCAAATTCCAAAATATTGTACCTGTTCTGGGAGAGAAGTCTACAGGTTCAATACCACGACACTCAAACTTTACAATGGAAGCAAACTGTACACTGTCGTTAGCATAGCCTTTAACACTGCTCTCTGAGGATAGGAAGCATTTCAAAGACATACGTATAAAAGCAATTAACACGTCATCAATGATCATTATAATTAGAATGATGTGAATGGTACAGCAGCACTTGAACGGTTTAAAAGCTCATGATCATCGAAGGTCTATAATCTACCAAAACGCGCACCGAGTTCGACTCGTTGACGGTCTTGGATTTGGAACAAATATTATAAGAGTGTCACCCGTTAAAAAGCTCACCGACTATACTTAAAGAGTTCTCTCGGTTGCACATCTTGCACTTAGCAACCAGATTGGCAGACCCTCGTCCTCCTTTAACTTCGGAGGTTTCGTCTTCAGCGACATACACGAAATGATCGGGTACTTCGCCGCAGTTAGAACACTTTATCTGCGGAGATATCATTGTTTATCTTTCAAATTTAGAGAATAGAGATTCATTTTTAGTATATTTGATAGGGTTGAACGCATATAATCTGGAATACTGAAACAGGTTGCTGCAGGAAAATAGTTAACCAATCATCATTGTACCACACTTAGTTAATAATAATAGTTTAAATTTATTACCTTCAAATACCATCGGAAGTCATCCCCTTCTGCGATAAAACTCTCAATATTTACCAGACTAGCACTGAGTTGCAATTCTACAAACATACCTGCTCCTACGATAATTTTAATCTAATTAGTTAGAAAAGCAGATGGATTCTCTCTGATTGTGAGATCCTTCAAGAAGTATGTATTTTACCCAGATCTTAAGCAAAACATCAGTCGTTTTGGAAAATTTGAATGTTGATAAAAGCAGTTTTCTTGATCTTATGATTCAATTTAGGCGTTTGACATATCATGATTAACTTTCCATTGATAAGTTAGTAATGATAAACAGAGCAGTAATAGACAAATAATTATGTCAAATATTTTCAATTGGTACTGAAACAATAAACTTGATAATAAAAACATTTCCTACCTCACTAAATCTGTACAACGGTCAGAAATAGTATTTCTTTACCATCAAATCGCAAAAATATATTCGATGTGACACTTTAACATTAAAATCATTCGTCCTTCATTGAAATAGAGGTGTATCCTTGCAATTATAACAATAATATTGAAAAAAACATGTGAATAAAAATCATTTAATTGAAAATCAAGTGACATCAACAATTTTTCTTAACTCGATCGATAAACCCAAAAAACTCTTAATCTTGGTTAAACCCTAACTGTTTAAACAAATAACTGGCTGCAATGGGGAAGGGGCAGTGGTCCCATTCCTACCCAAACCAATTTGCTGGATTCAGAAGAGTGGCAAGCCCACCTCCATAATCCTACTACAACTAACTGTCGTGATCATCACAACAACGGCAGTCAAAAACAGAAAAGTCTCCATGATCTAATCAGTCGAGATCGCTATCATCAGAAAACTCTAGGTCTACAATTTGAGCAGTGTTATTCGGACTGGACTCGGATGCAGTGGGTATGCCTGTTTCCTCCCTAAATTTATTCCAGTCGAATGCAACAACTTCTTTTTGAGGCCTCTCACCTGTTCCTGTTCCAACATGAAGACTATTTGCTCCTCTCTCAACCGCTTGACGAAACACATCAGTCTTATACTCATAGTTTTGGTTAATGTGGTTTGGTCTGCTGGAAGGTTTGTTGGCATACGGATTGCTTTGCCGAGCAGATGAGGACACGTTTCCTGAGATATTGCCCTGTCTAGCAGCATTATTATAACCGCCTCTATTACCGGCAGCATTACTGTAAACGCCTCTATTACCGGCAGCATTACTGTAACTGCCTCTATTACCGGCGGCATTACTGTAACTGCCTCTATTACCGGTAGCATTACTGTAAGTGCCTCTACTGCCTGCAGAGTATCCTCTGTCGTTGAATGAGTTTCTAGTATCGGGAGCGGGGTGCTGATCAAGTACATTATCAGCCATTAAGTCCTGAATAGAAAAGGTGCTGTATGTTGAACGTGTATCGAAGAATTCGTCTTCGAATGTAGATTTCTGTTGAGCGTTTACAAAGGAGTTTGTTGGTGTCGTGAGCTCGGGCTGAGGATTTGTTTCAGAAACTACTGACGGTTGACCTGAAAATTTAGACATAGTCAGTATCATGCTTCGTTAACCAGCGGTTTCGATGGAATAGCGTGATAAAACATTTTGCATTGTAAGGTGAATAATCGGCTGTTAGGTGAATTATAATTGGTTATTTTTTTACCCCTTGAGAAACTGTTCATAGATCTTCGTGATTTCATAGGTGAAGAGATAAAAGTTGCCAATTTATCTAACTGTGAAACAGAAATGATCTATGAAACTTCAACATCATGGTCAGTGAGAAATAGGGAAATTTATATTTACTGATGTGTAATAAGACACGAAAACGATCATATTTGTATATTTATCAAAATATTAGTAAGTGAAAGTCATAGACGCGAGATTGGAGAAGACATTTTAAATAAAGTTTTTAAATCAAAAACTTGGAATCGCACCGAAGAATTCTGGCAGAAAACAACGACGGCGTTCAAGAAAGCTTGAACGAAGTGGCCAATCCCATGACTTAAGTTGGATACGGGCCTGATCAAATCGTTCCAGATCTAAGTTTACAAGTAGCTTAATACCGGAAACAAGTTCATTAGCAATGACCCTGCGGGCCTTATCTGTGATGTGTATGTCATCACGAAAAACGTTCCGACCAAAATTTGAATGTGTGATGGGGTCCTTCTCAAGCACGTTTTGGGCATCAAAAAAGAACAAATTCGGTACTTGAGCGGCAAATTCAAACATAGCTGTGTTAAATTCACTTATCCAACTGTTTAGCCAGCCGTGTTTAGTCTCAATAATGGCTGAATACAGGAATATTGTCGTTTTGTATCTCGAACATGTTACCCTGAGACGCGGTATGACAGAAGCAGCTAATGATTGAGGGGTGTGATCATATCTAGCAAGATCATTTACTCCGCAGGCTATAATCACGTAGTCGAAATGAGGAAAATCTGAAGTATAACCAAACACTTGAGTCAGTCTATAGTTAACTTTTTTAGTGCACCTTAGTCCTGAACCACAAACATTACTGAGAAAGGATTCAGGAATGTGCTTCAGCACTGAGTCAGTTAAGAACAAAACCCCCTTCGGGTTCGGGGTGGTGCCTGGTGAAGGTGAGAGCAAGGTAATTTGGGGTTCAGTGGATGGAGTCTTCAAGGAGGCGGGTTCAGATGCAGGCAGGTGGTCCGAGCCTGAAACAGGCTTTGTTACTGCACGTGCTCTACAATCTACATTGGTTAATGGTTATGAAGATCGGTGCCAAATTGTATAACCTCTACAGTTTACACGAGTTGTATTGGAAGATGTTTGTAAGATACAGTTCTACATTTGGCTGTTGAAATGTCGTGAGTAATAGAATATGTAGAACAATTGCACTACGGTGTGTAACAAATGTGACATTATCTATTTCAAGCGAAGTTCAGATAAGAATAATTGATAAGAATAATTGATACTTGATACTTTACGTGGTAATTTGAACGTACGTATTGTAGCAGCTGAGGATACTGAGGATTCAGTAGGTCTTCTAGATCGATCATCCCTGAAAATGTACCAGCTTATCGTCTATGAAAATCGTAGATTTCAGTAAATAAAATCGATAAGATTTGGGGTTTCGAGGAAACATTACCTTACGAGACAATATATTTAAAAGGTACGAAATGCGGTGGTTTTCCATATTTTCGGACTACCAAAATTTAGGTCACCATAATGTTTCCCCAAAATTATTTTTCACATATTTTCTTTAATTATGACTTAGTCGATTTACTATCATTATTATACTAAGCTATCAATATGATTCATCTAACAAATTAACACTAGTATTACACCTGGGACTAAACTTGAGAGAGAAACGTCCATGAACCAGAAGATCAAGAAGATCAAGAGGAAATTGACTTGTAATTTTTCAAATTTATATATTTTTTTATTTTTTTTATTGATTTTCTCAAATGATGGGTTTTATTTTAGCAAAATATTAAGAAATGAAAAAAATCCCCAAATACCATGATTTAATTTGGGGTACGAAATGAATTGGTTTTCGGCAAAAAATCCCATATTTTCGGTCCCAAATCATTTAGGTCACCGGAATTTCGCACCTTTTAAATATGTCTTAGCTAAGTGTCATAATTATTGGCGCGTAGACAATTTTGCGTGAAATTTTAGCTTACCCAAGCTTTTAGGAACGATCATTACAGTTTCCTATGCAGTCTTGATCATTCGAGAGATAATCTTATACTACAGTTCAGTCTAAAAACGGAGTCCGAAAGAAGTTAAATTTCGTCGATAATCACGATAATTCTGACACCCTGCTGTATAATAAGGACGATAAGGATCTATTGTACTAACAGGTTCAAAGCGTTTGGTCTATTTCCACCCTCGTCTGCATCTTGGTATCTGATATCGTAGCTGTCGAAGGCTCTGAAAGTAAATGGACATGCTAAATTCTCACTGATATGAAAGCTGGAGTGCGAACGCGGACCGATACGAGTTTGATATCGAGTAAGATACGTTTAACGTGGACTGATAAATTCCACGAAAGTTTCAATTAATAATACGCGCGTTGTTCGCGCGATTAACATCAATAAAAGAGACGTTGCGCCCTTCGCAAACTACAATTTTTAATAGTGACCGATGGCAACGAGCAGGTTGACTGTCAACTTTTGAAATCTGATTTATTTTATTGATATCTAATTTATTTTATTCTAATCACGTGTTGAAAGTAAAATATATCTCAACTTACACTTTCTCTGGTTCAAAATCTGCTCCAGCATCTGATTTTGGAGCTCTGGTCTCAGACACTATCGCACCACGACCTCTACCTCGACCTTTTTTCAAGTTGATATCACCGTCACTGTCCATATTTCTTGAACTCCCAATCGAAGAAGCTGCCATTCCTCTTCCTCTTCCACGACCCTTGGATTTACTATTCTTACTGACTGAAGATTGATAATTTGAGGAGGTGCAGCTGGATACTGAACACTGTTCGTCGTCTGTAGTCGAATTGGGTAAGGGGGACTCTCTTCGATAAAGAGGTTTGTTTACGGGTTGGGGTCGGAAAATTAAGCTGCAATCAGTATTTGCACTGGAGTTTCGTTCTGATTCACTGATTAAACCAGATTTAACATAAGAAGGAAACACTCTTTTGAAATCCGTTTCCTTGAATGGGAACTCAGTTTGAGTGTCAGAGTCTACTGTTCTGAGTCGCCTATAGTTGGCAGGTGGGATAGAACCACGCCCATAGCTGTAGCCAGGGATTAAAGAGGCTTTCTTGTCTGTAATGTGCTTGAAATAGAACAAAATAGGAAAATGGAGAAAGTTTATGGACTCTATGTCGTCTGAAGATGTTTTGTCGGACTGCATGGTAAGAAAGTTCTCGGTCAGAGTTTTAGAATTAAGTTTAGTGTGAGCAAGTGCTTGTGTAATCTCACGGATAGTATGAGAGCCCCTGGACGAGTCTAGATCTGGGTTTAAGTCAGATTCTTCCGCTGTAGGTAAGTGTTCTGATTCTGTGTGCATCTTGACTGGGATTGGTTTAACTGGGGTTGGTTGAGCAGGGAATGTATTCTTAGGAGAAGCTGGCTTTTGGGTGGCAGATTCTCGGGCTTTTTTCTTATAGAATTCCTTCCTTTCGTTCTTCTCCTTTTTCGCTGAAATGAAAGATGTTGTTTTTATGAAACTTAAAAACACTTTGTTGAGTGATTTCAAATGCTCAAAAAAATTAAAACTCGTAGCCAAAGTAGAGCTAACATTTGGTAGACTGCGGTTTGGTGTAGTAAGCTTTGATATCTAAGTCTGGAGCTGTTGCTTCAATCGCTCCATAGATCCTATTCATATCTTCCTTTGTCTGCATAAATGTTGCATCAAGTAACCCTTTACAGGCATTCTCTAGATCGTTGAGGTATTTGTCAACAATAACAGCAACATCGAAAGTCTCGTCGACAGGGAGTTCTTTGCCACTGACAGAAGAGTAAACTAAAGCTACAAATATGTCTAGTGAGGCTGTAGCATCATTAGCCGCGTAGGTCTTTTGGTTTGATTGGAGAACATTACTTTCCCAGTTATCTGAAAAACAATATTTTTCTTAAAACAATCTTTCTAAGACTTTAAATACCAGGCAGAACCTACTACAATGAATCTTCTGACGGTCAATAAATCATGTACGTAATCATTTACAGAACGAGGGTCTGATATTTACCTGACCATCTTGCTGACGTATTTTTGGGTAGTGTTCGGACCATACAGTCAGCTATCAGGGACTCAAGACCCATTTTGGGGCACCAACAGAGTCGCTTAACGTTCGCTTGCTTTGCACTCTCAGAGTTCTGAAAACAAAAAGTGTAGAATTTCAATTATATAACCATTTTAAGAAATGTGCGGTAGTGGGGAACCAAGAATAATTTATAGAAACGTCGTCACAAACAAAAATAATGTAGCTGACAAAAGTTGTGAAAGTTTAATCCGTTCTAAAAACCCACCTACTCTTACCTGGTCTACTTGGTCGTAATACTGCAGAGTGAACTCTAGATTCTCCACCTGCTCAACAATACACTTGGCCCATGATTTACTGCGTATTGCCACATGCCGCAGGTCTACCCAACTTTTTATCTTGCAGAAACAATCTTCTCCCAGTTTGTCACTGTCATTCTCTATATTCACACCCACCTGAATAAATTAACTATACTTAAATCGCTCACATTTTTATCAATAATAACTTATTGATGATATTAACACAAAGTTTTTGGAACGAACCTACCAATATGTGTTGGCTTATTATTTATAATTCTGTTTGTCCAATTAAAACACTGTAAAAGAGTCAAAGAAACACTATGAAGCCATAATAATAAACCTTGTAAATGGTAGGATCCTCAAGAACTAGCTTGGCGTTTTCAGGAAGTGTAAAGTTAAGCTTACACACCCTTACCAGGAGGACTATGGTAGGGGTGGCGATTTGGAGTAGTGATACCTGGACAGTGAGCAAGGTAATAGTACTGATACGGTCATGAACCACTAATTAATGTTTGTTTTCAATAAATTGTACTAAGTCTAGCAAGGCGGAGGATGTTTCAGTAGAGTAAATGAAGTTAAATACGTACCGGCCTGTTTGTGTTCCACTCACAATCTAGTCCAATGAACTGCAGAGCTGGCTTTAGGATGTAATCTTCGAAAGCTGAAATAAAAAATTAATATAATGACTGTGTAGGGGTACATTGGAGAGGTCTAATACATCGGAGAAAGGAGTTGTACTATGTGGTGCAGGCCACTCCAACGACTAGGAGAAGACCTTTTCAAGTACAAGTAAGTACTGTGTAGTGCGGTAGTGAATTTGTGTAGTATGTAGTAAATTTGTTACAAGTCTTTCAAAAGCAGATTAATGTCAATTTAACGCAAAATATGTATAAAAGATCATTTAAGTATACAATTTTATTTCGATCCAAATTTGATGATTTTGAGCGATTACCTCGGTTACAAGTTTCAGAGTCTTCTATGACTATGATCTCTTGTCGACATGTGTATGACATATTCTCGATCGGGTCCCGAATTTCAGCTTTATTTCAGCTACTCAGAACATATCTAGTTCGGGGTTGTATTTATTAAAGGTTAATGTCTCACTATTATATATTAATAATGTGTTATGCAAGTCATTTATTTTTATCACTTTAAAACTTTAAAAACAAAATCTTGTTCTCCAAAAGCTCGAAGTAGCTCGAATCAAATGAAACTTGAAATGTTTTCAAATAAAATTGGATTTTTAATATCATGACCGGGTCACGATTAAAAGGGTATCATTAGATCTGTAATATGTATCTTATTTCATAGAAAGAAAACTCCATTTACGGACGTGAGGACAGTTAGAACTCCTCTAACTACATTAAATCAATTCCGTCTGTAACTTCCTCAATAAATGTAATAGATTTGTAGTGTTGCAATTAGTTTAAAACTAACACTTATACAAATAATTGTCTTGATTTGAAAACTTTTCATTTTAATTTCATGCAAGTCGTGCATACAATTTTTGCATAGTTAAGAATTTACGAAACGAAACACAGCATTTAATTTAGTATTTACTAAATTATAAAATATATCTAAATAATTTACACAATACGGTGCCCATGTCGGAGCGGATCTCCTAAAAAACAGTCACTCTCCTCAGAGGTCAATATCATTAAAAATATGTCGTATATTATTATATTTGGGTGAAATATGTCGTGGTTTTTATATCACCCGATGGGGAATTTTTGGGCCCCACAATGATCCAAAGTGGCAGAGCTCGATCCAGGGGGGCAAAGCCCGCTACAGGCGAGTCCTGGGAAAATTTATTGAAAAATTCTGAACTATTTTGATACAATTATTCTTTTATATGATATTCCCCGTCAGATATGTCAGATATTCGTTCATCTCATCAAATATATGCGGAAACGTTTTTCATGACATGCTTTGCCTAGAAAAGGCAGGTAAGATGTCATGAAAAAATTGTTTTTAAAGGAATTTTGTAATCAATTATTTTTGAAATTAAATTAGTTCGTAACAACATTTAACAATAATTTGGTTATGTCGTGGCGTTCCCTCAAAATATGTCGTATATTTATATGCGAAATATGTAATGATATTGACCTGAGTCACAAAATCAAATAGACTGAATATGGTTAAGGGGACAATAACAGATTAAAGAGTGAAACAGAATTTAAAATAGTATGCATACAATATAATTGATTTTATTGACACACCAAAAAACGAACCAAAAAATAATAAGTGGATACTCGAAAAAACAGCACACATCTGGGATGACTAGATTAAACACTGCTGAGTATAAGTTTATCTTAATAGGTGTTATCTAGTGGTGTTATCTAGATTCTAGTGGTGTTCTTAAACTTCAATTTATTATTATTATTACTAGCTAATACGCCTGCTACTCGCCTTCAGTTTAGAGGTAAAGAGTTCAGATAGTCAAGAATCTTCTTAGTTACAATTAATGAACATTTTCGTTCAAAACATAAATCAATAAGAAAAACTGATAGATAAAAAACTGATAGATATGATAACAGCTCAATACAATATATACATACAGTTCAAAAGATACAACAGATATATGATAACAGATCAACCTCGTGAATTGTCAAATCATAATATTATTATGTTTAAATATATTATGTACAGGGTGGGCCAAAAGTCAGTACCCATACGTTGGACTTTATAGCTGAGTCACTGAGTGCCCAATTTAAATACTTCCTTCTGGTATGACTTAGTACCACCACTGGTTTGAGGAATTTGTCAACTCGAAAAATATTCGCGTTCATTTTTTTCAAATGGAAGTTCATTTTCACATTTATTTTATAGTTTGGATAGTCGGATCAAGCTAAATGTTATTGAATTGTGTTTGGCCATTCGAATTACGTTTGTCCTGAAAGAATTAGAACTGTAGCTTCTCAGATTACCGAGATATGAAGCATAACGAGTTTATTCATTACGTGTGATCAGGTGATTGGTTTACCTAATCACGTGATAAGGTTACCCCGTTAGCTACCCCGTTAAACATTATGGGAATTGTTAAGGGTGCCCAATTAAGGTGTCGTGTCACGGTGTCACATAATCACCCAGTCAATTTTGTTAACGAGATACAGAAAATGCTTGATAACTTCGTCATTTCTACTCCGTTTTGCCTCATGTTTTCAGATCATATGCAACATTTGATAATCTACCGTCTCTGAAAACATTAGGCGTTCAGCATGTTCAGAGAAAACAATATAGGTGTTTTAATATTGAATGGGCGTGGTCTAAAATATTCGAATTTTCAAATTTTGACGACGGAATCCTCGAACCAGTAAGTACAGTATGCCATCTGCAAAGCAACAGCTCTCAAATATAAAACACGGCGGAGCTATTAAGGCCAACGTATGGGTACTGACTTTTGGCCCACCCTGTATATTATCATGTTTCTGGCAGTATAGTAATTTGCCATTGCATTGAGTCTGACAAACCTTTATACTGTGTTATTAATATCATACACACGAAAACGTTGGAGTATGAACTGTATAATATAAATATGACAAGTTATGTAAGTAATCTAAAATAATTCACTTTTTAACTCATTATAAAAACCTGAAAACCATTATATTATTTCAAAATCAAAACATCAACTTTAAATCTTGAAAGAAAATGAACGTCAGTATATATATAATATATATTAGTATTATACTATGTACTAATTGTTCTATAATGAACGAGAATCTGTAAATAAGATAAAATCATTAATAACACTATTTAATGAGCAACTTAAAAAATAGAAAAAATTCTGGCAATTTTTAATCAAAAATGCATAATTATGTCTTCATTTTCTTATTTTGTCCACGGGGAGGCTGTGTCTTGTAATCAGTCAGATCAAACTCCTCTTCAGTTATCAGTTTGAAGCAACTATTCTTAAGAGACCGATCCTTTAGTGTCTTTCTTTCAATCAGCCTGATTATTAGTGGAATAAAGTTATTGAATGAAGAAAGTTTAATTCACATCAAAACTTTGGGATGATGTAGATAATAGATTGTAGCCAACGCCGTTAATTATCAGCTTTCGTTTACAAATTTTTGCAACAAAATGAAAGTGAGAAGTCATTTAAATAAAATAAGAATGCCATGATAATACATACATGTATGAATCTAAAGTAACATTATGAAAATAAATTAAATAAATAAATTTGACTACCTTAAGTCAGTAAGCTGTGACTTAATACAATTTTCAGGATCAAGCACAAATTTGTCAGCACTGAAAGTTCCCAGTTCTTTTTCAGACATCAATGTGTAGAAGATATCAAGGCAAGCAGCGCCATCAGCCGCAGCGTAGCTTATTTGTCTCTCCATTAATGTATCAGCTTCCCAATCGTCTGTGGATTTAAGATGAGTTTTACCAAGACGTTTTAAAATATTAAAAAGAAGGTTTAAAGCTGTACCTAGATAGTTCACAAAAGGATAGCATGAGGATGCTCTGTCTGTCTCTGGGCAATGACAACCCTGAAGGAGGTCGCCCGAGTTATCTATGTGGAGATGAAAAAGGTTATGAATAATTGATTTTAAATAATCAGCAAGTAAACATTTCCATTTGACTTTGCCCTTTCGAAGCTGAATTCCAAGGCAATCCTTTGTCAGGCCGGCCAACCCCCACTTAGTATTCCAACCATATCGTTCAGCTTTCTTTTTGTTTTCATTCTCCTCAGATGCCAGTGTCTCTTCAAATTCTTTTAGTTTTTTCAGTATGACTTTCGCATATGCATTCGTGTTAACAGCCAAATTCCTTAAATCCACCCAACTTTTCAAGTTGCACTTGTAATCATCCCTTAACTTCTTAGCATCGTTTTCAATGCCAACACCGACCTGAATTGATGAAAGATTGCAAAAATTTAGTTTCTCAACAATTTACTTACTGCAAATAAGATCAGAAGTAAAACCATTTGCCAGGAATGTGCTGGAAATTAATTGTTGCTAAAATAGAGCCCCCCAATTAGCTAGGCAAGAATAACAGAATGTTATCATGCAAGTGATAATATAAACTCTATCCATACCTTGATAATATCGGGATTCTCTAGAATGTCACGTAAGGTCGTTGGGATCTGTTTATCAGCAAACTTGGTGATTCGAAATAGGAAAACATCGTCAACAGTTGCAACTTGAATTAAGGCAATCTGAAGTTGTCAGATGTGAATCACTGAGATATTATCTTTTAGAAATTTTCAATCAGTAAATATAGTACATTTTAAGACACGATAACAAAATTAAGAATATTAAGTATTAACTTTAAATTGTCGATTGAACTACCTTTGATTTATCATTCCACTCACAGTCCATGCCGAGAACTTGTTGGGCTAATATCGACTCAGCAATGACTGAAAATAATTTTGCTAATAAACTTTATTTTTGAGTATACTCAAGATGGTCTAGGACTAAATAATTGAAATAGATAAATGTGACCGAATATCATATAATATGTATTATTACATTGCACATATTTTAGCAAATTAGCAAATTACCTTGGTCACATGTCTGGGTGTCAATGATGACAGTGATCTTTTGCTGACACGAGTAATTGTTATCCATACTATTTTAGGTGTGTATTCCGTTCTATCAGATCCTATATCCTATTTCAGTGTTGTGTTCAGAAATGTTGTGTTCAGAAATTTTACACAAGAAAGTTAGCAAGCTCCTAAATTAATTTCAAGCAGAAAAAAAACAATCGATTCACAGATTTCATTGCTAGTAAAAACTAATACATTTCACAAATAAGTGCAGATCTATTGATCAACTGCCAATACAAAAACATAATATAAACCCAAATACAATTAAATCGACTACTGTTTATAATAAATCTTTACATTTCTGTTGTTGTGAAAGAAACATCGGAATAGTTTGATTGATTGTAAACTATCTTAGCAAATATTTAATACAAATAGTAATAATCCCTCACAAAGGCACTGCACTCTCAATAGGAAAATGCCACACTGCGTAGATCAGCACTTAACGACGGAATTTAAACCTCATCTGACAAATATTGTGAAAACTTAAAGTTTTGTATGCTCTAACGGCCAGAAAGAATAACTCAACAAATAAAATTGTTTATCACAACGGGACAAGTCCCCATCCTCTTACGAACACTACCGTATCGTCCCTAATATAATAGCAAGACATGTATTGAAAAAATGTATTCTAGTAAAAGCAGACATGGGCGCCGCTGTAAAACGCATAGGCGGCGGAGTGGAGCCATATTTGGTCGGCGGCGGCGGCATTTGACCGGCGTGGAAATATTTTGCCCGAACCATTGCTCAATTTTGTTTATGAAAATTTTGAGCTTAGGGACGAGGACTGGCGTTCAAAGTAGTTCACTTATGTGTTTCTACAGTAGAAGGCTAACTAATATTAAATATGTTGTTCAGTGCAACATTTATGATATCCATTTTCCAACCAGTAATTACTGTTAAAAAGACTCAGCATTCAGCTATGTGAAATTTACAGCTTATTGACCACAGGGTATTTGAATTGATGTTAAAATGTGTAACCGTCAGTCGTGCTTGCCATCACTTGATGAGTATTGACTGCTGATCGTAGTCGAGTTGTTAGAACAAATCACATAATTCAGCACAATCCACGTCCGAACTGTTGAAAATGCAAATTGCCTCAGTTCTTGTCAAAGTAATTAAATTTGCAAGTGATGCGCAGAAAATGCGCACGTTTAAATGCTGGCAAACAAGATGTTCATATCCTAAAATACCGGAAATGCGGATAAATTTTGACGGCAGTATGCGCAAATCATTTCTGAGGCGCAGCTTGTAGTTGTAGCTAAGATCCTTTCTGCACGACGTAACCTAACTCCAAAATATTATCATTTTGTCGACATTCATGTACCTAATTATTGTTTTGTCCTTTACAGTTTCAGCTCAGCAACAACAAGTTCCAATTAGGGGCCATCTACTTAGGACGTCCGCCAAAATCGCAGATTTTCAGACCACCCCCTCCCCCTGTCCGGGTGTGTCCGAATTTTTGAAACCACCCCTCTCCCCCTGGACGTCCGGATTGTCGCCAGACTGGTTAATATTCCTTATAGGACACTACTAAATAACTTATTCGACACTCATTGTTTCAGCTTTCATATGAGAATCATCACTGTTTATATTATATACAGCTTCCTTCGCTGACTCCTCCGGCTTCTCTTCATCTATCTCCCCATCCTCTTTTTCCCTGAAGTTACCAACTACCATTTTTACCTCATCCCCCTCTTTTTCCAGAATATCTATCTCATTTATCCCTGACTCAGCCTCCTTTAACTTATCCCTTGTCTTGTGGTCAACACTCCACCCCTTGGGGAGATGCTCCGGTTTCATTGAGGACAAAAAGAAGTTTCTCCACCTTACAATGAAGTCCTCCACTTTGTCCTGCTCGATAACTTTCTTCACCACTTCACTACCATGCTCTGGAGCATTACCTGAACACTTCATATCATTAATGGATATACATTTCAGTTCCATGACCTCTTCTGCTGACGGCTCATGTCCCAAGTAGTCAGTAATCGTCTGTTTCAGCACTAGTTTCCTTTCTTCTGGGATGATATTGTTTGTTGCTGTCAGAGCCTTGGCAGCTGCTCGAACACTAGATTTTGTCCTGTTCAAGACCATAAAGTTGTTTTTGTAATTGATGGGAATCCCATGCTCTGTCGCCAGTTCTTCTCGCATCAGGTTATCAAACATATTGCTAGAACAATGACACTGGACACACAGCAGCACTACATCATGTGACTGTCTATCTTTAAATTCAACAGGCAGGTGTCTCCTGTATTCTTTAGGAATGACATTCTTTCTAACAAGCTCCTCGGTTCGAGAACAACAGCAGCATTCATTTATCTTGTCCTGACAATAGAAGTCTGAACTATCCAACGGTTTTCCAGAGGGTTCAAAGAGTAACTTAGCAGCAATTGGTTCACCCTCAGCTTGTTCAATAGGCTCAGCCAAGTTGTTACTAAGATACCAGTTTATCTTTCTTTTGTTACATGTACAGAGGAGTGTCCCGTCAGGAGCATACAGTTTGCAGTTCTCGTATAGCGGCTTTTTCCGTACAATTTTGTGAACATTAGCTAGCTGCTCATCAAATCCTGAAGATATTCTATGTTAGCTTGTATTGACAAAATAATACATTTATAAAAATATACTTCAGATTGTGTTTTGTAAGTTTAGTTAACATAACTTTAACAGCTTCTCTTAGCCTAGTATAGGCGACTGCTATTATTTTACCTGCATATAGTTTGGGTCTCTTGGCTGGTTGTCTCATCTTATTTTCTGGTGATAAAAGAAAAACTTACATAATAATTATTTGAGTACAATTATTATTAATACAGAAGGTCAGAAGTGTCATAAATAATTTTCCAAACAATCATCATTCATAGTCTACATAATGTTCACAAACTGTCAGTTGCCAGAATTAAATGAATGTGAATACAATTTTCATAGGTCCAGAACCCTTCCTCCCAATTAGGCCACACTCAGTGACAAAGGAACATTCCACTTGAGATGTTCCTCCACAAATATAAATACAGGAATTTTAATTTTTCTGGAACTCACTCAGATAGCTTACATGGTCGCTTTCAGGATAGGTCACAGCCCACTAGTTTATTTTCAGAACGTGGCAAACAACGTCAACTTCGAGACGCAAGATTTTGAACACTTTTCAGGAGAAGCAGAAACATCCCAGCACCTCCTCTGCAAGTGCATCCAGATCATGACGTTCAGAATGAGGATAATTGGTAAACTCTACCTTAAAAACAGTAAACTACAATCATATCTTCAAATCTGTGGAACAGTCGACAAGACTGGATAGGGAAAACCCTTTTGGGTAACCTCCTAGGATTCTTCACCAGGAACTTTCGCTAAATCCCATACTAGGAACTCAACCTAGGCCCATCTCCGCATAGAGACATATTTCCCAGGCTTTGACCTTGCTCGGAAGTCCCTTGTCTGCCCGCAGAAGTACTACAACGGAAGTGGGTTTGCTCTGAGACAGGTAGTGACAGCTTCAAGACTCCAGGGGTCTGTTGCATTGATATTTATTATTTTATGATTTCGTATATACTTTGGGAGTCCTGGCGTGCAGCTAGCAGGAGTTGCATTCTGTGGGCACGGTGAGAAGGCCTCCATCTTTTAGTAAGAGGCCAGAAACCGTTGACCAGAACAGAGAGAGAGAGAGAGAGACATTTTACCGGGGAAAAAACAACTTTAAATTAGTTCTAAATCTGAAAAGTTTCAACTCACTATTTTTCTGAACCGGTTTTGTCATGTAATCAGTAAGATCAAACTCCTTATCAAGAGCTGTTATTTGTGAATAACACTGGCTCACAAGACTTTTTTGTTTTACATTCAGCCCAATTGCCCTGAAGTTAGGTAGCAAACATTAATATCTTATTTCGCTTAGTTCAGATTAATTATTATGTAAATGTAATTAAAAGAAATTAAAAGCAGCTAAAATCTGAGACTATCATATTGATCATATTATAATCAAAGATAAACTGGAAACAAATTACCAAGCTGTGGATATTTAAAGAATATAATATATAATACCTTCCACAAAATTTTGTGAGCTGATCTTTTATATCAGAAGCCCACTCAATCTCTGAAACACTAAAAGGAACTCCTAGATCTTTCTCCACCATAAGAGCATAGAATATATCAAGAGCAGCAGCCCCGTCAGCAGCTGCATAGTTGACTTGTTCCTGGCTGAGACTGTATGCTTCCCAATCATCTGAATATCATGATACATATATTATATTGTATTTTATTAATTGTAAAATCAGTGAAAATTACAAATCAAATTAAATGTCATTTAATATTCACATTCATGGTGGAAAATAAATATTTTTCGAAAAATGTGATTTTATGTATTTAATAATAAATTGATATTCAACTCAATGCATGCTTTACATATGTAATGAAAAACATCAATAAAATTATTGAAATAATTCAGATTATGAAGTGAGGATGAGTAGTAGTCAGAAAGGGAAATTTAAGGGGAGAATGGCAGGGAAAATATTTATTGTATGGATAAAAAATTAATATTAAAATGCAAACCTTGCCATCTTGCAGTGCTTTCCTTCTGAAGTCGGACACCAAGGCAATCTTCTGTTAATGAGCCCAAACCTAATTTGGGACACCAGCTGTATCTTTTAGATTTCTTTCTCCTTTTCGATTCAAGGTTAAGTATTTCCTGGAGTTAGGCTTCAAGTAGGATTCATGTCTCTTGAATAATTATAAAATTGCAAACTAAAATGAGCAAGAAGACTTAAGAACAGTCCAAATTTAAGAATCTTGGTATGAACATAATATTACGATTTTAAAAATAGAAATGTTCCTTTACCCCTACATAATATTATGCAGTACAAGTGATTACAACTGTTTCAAACAAGATACCCACTGTTAGAGAAAACGAGAAAAAACTTTACATCTTCATTGTCTTCTGGATAAAGAATAGCCAGTTCTTCTTCAAATTTCTGGAGCTTTTTTAGTAATACTTTTCCATATGCTGTCTTGGTTACAGCAATATTCCTCAAATCTACCAAACCTTCTAAATTGCACTGGTATTGTTTTCTTAACATCTTGGCATCATTTTCGATGTTAACACCAACCTGTGAATGTTTCAGCTAGCTATTCTTGGGTCTCAAAATTATTGAAACAATTTCAGCAATTCACCTCAGAATGGTATGGAAAAGTTTGTGTTTTTCTTACCTTGATGATATCACCATTCTGTAGGATATCATTCAGGCTCTTTGGAATCCGTTTGTCAGGGAACTTGGTGATACGAAATAGAAATACATCATCACAAGTTGCTACTTGAATCATGGATATCTGAAGTTATCAGATTGATTATGCTAATGCAAATGATTTTTGATGAGCTAATAGCTAAAAAATAATGTTAAATAATAAATAATAATAATAAAAGTTGGTAGCTTAAACACAAACTCTAAGCCCAGTGGATAAACCACAAAACTTATGCTCTATTGTGTGAAACAAAGATACTAGATCAAGATAACTATCAAGGAGTGTATGCATAGGACATAAAAAGTTTTGGAACGAAGATGACATGCTTGTGAAGCGAGCTAACAGTCTAATTGCTAATAAGTTCAAAAAGATCATGACATTAGGTTGCATCCTAAACAGTTTAAGCAAATAACATAAAGTTATTATATTGTCAATTAATCGCTCATGCCATAACTTTTCTTAAACAGGTGAGTTTTTAATAATGTTTTGAACAGATCAACATCGGAACAAGTCTTAATTTCAATTGGTAGTTGGTTCCAGATTTTCGGAGCAACAGTCTGAAACGCTCTTGGGTGTGATCTTGTAGATCCGACGGGTAGGTGTAAGGATGAAGTTCTTCTGCTACTCGAACTAACAAATGTTACTAGATCACACAGATATGCAGGAGCAACACCATTGACTGCTTTGAAAATCAGTAAGCATAACTTAAACTCAATCCTCTCCTTCACCTTGAGCCAATGAAGGGATTTGAGCTTCTCCTCGACTGAGTCTCTCTTCTTTAATCCAAAAACCAGACGGCATGCTCGGTTCTGAATGTTCTGCAGCTGCGTAATTGAGGCTTGACTACAACCATAGTAAAGTGCATTGCAGTAGTCAAGCGATGAGATTACAATTGCTTGAGTCAGTGTTCCCATCTGTTTGGTTGTGAGGAATGATTTCATCTTAGCAAGGTCTCTTAGTTTCAGAAAACACGATGTTTTAAGTTGCTTGATTTGCTCACCGAAGTTTAGTTGAGAGTCGAGACGAAATCCGAGGTTCTTTGCAACAGGTGACAGCCTGACACACGTCTCAGAGTTAACAAACACGCCCCCTATAGACAGCTGCTGGAGAACAAGCGGTGTCCCAAAGACAAGAATCTCAGTTTTTCCTGCATTGAGCTGTAGATAATGTTTTTTCATCCAGTCATTAATTTCTTGGAAACATTTGGGAACATCGTTGATAAGGACGGTGGGCTCCTCGTTTGGCTTGAAACTCTTATACAGCTGATGATCGTCGGCGTAACCCTGGATGGAGAAGTTCAAATCATGTGCTGCTGAGTACAAAGAGCGAATGTAGATGTTGAACAGGACCGGACCCAGCACAGAGCCCTGTGGGACTCCAAACTTAATCACTATCTCATAAGATTCCTCATTTCCAACTTTAATCGTTTGACATCTACCTGTGAGGAAGCTGCTGAACCATTTCCAAGCTGTCCCTGTTATTCCCAACTCATTTCTGAGGATGTTCAGTAGTTTGCAGTGGTCAACTGTATCAAAAGCTGCGCTGAGATCTAGGAGAAGAACAACAGTTGCCTTGCTTTCTGTAGATGCAATGAGCAGATCGTTAACAACTCTCACAAGCAGAGTCTCGGTGCTGTGTTTTGATTTGTATCCAGACTGCTGTGGGATGTTCAGGTTGTTGTTTTCTAGATGTTCATTTAGACGCCTGAGCACTACTCTTTCTATCAACTTGCCTACAAAGCTAAGGTTAGATATTGGTCTGTAATTCTTGAGATTATCACTATCCAATCCCTGGCCCTTGATCAGGGGTGTGATATGAGCTAGTTTAGCGCCATCAATACTGCCAGAAGATAATGAAGCATTTACTATGTCAACTAAGACGGGTAGTAGAACCTCAAGGTTTTCTTTAAAGATGTTAGCAGGTAGAGGGTCAATTGAAGAAGACTTGATCTCAGATGCCTTGATTATCTCCTCTAGTTCTTCTAGAGTAGTTGGAGAGAACTCAGCTAGTTTTTCTCCGCAGTAAGAGGGCGTTTGATCGTCAGACTCCACATGATCAAAGTTATTACGTATTGCCTTTATTTTCTCCTGAAAATATACGTTAAAGTTTTCGACTGTGTCCTTGAGAGACTCCGACGAAGGCAACACAATGCTTTTATCCCGATCAAGAAAGGTGTCCACAAATCTAAAAAGACTCTTAGAAGAATAGGAATGCTTTATGAATTCGACTTTGAAAAACTCATGTTTCTTCCTGTCTGAGAGTTCTGTGCACTGCTCTCTGACTGATTCATAGTGTTTCTTGTCAGTTAAAGATCCGGAGATTTTCCACTTTGTCTCGGCTTTTCTTCTTTGGCTTCTAAGTGCTTTATATTCACCATCGAACCAAGGGGCAGACTTACGTTCTTTGATTTCCTTTGTGAGGAGAGGAGCATGGTTATTCAGCACAGTTAGGCACTTAGAGTTGTATAGGCTGATGCGGCTTTCAAATGACGGCATTTCAGCTTGTGATAGACCCTCAGGATCCATTACAGTAACCAATTCCTCAGCAAGATTATCCGCAAAACAATCTTTGTCAATTTCTTTGACATTTCTGAATGTGATAACTTTTTTCTTGTTGAGATTGCTTGCAACTGTTTTTGTGAGGCTAAAAGTAACCGGGAAATGGTCACAGTTTGGGAACATTTCCGAAGTGTGCGAGTCTACTGTGACACTCTTTGGATTGACTATCTGATGGGAGGAGATTACAACATCCAGAATATGTCCTTTGTTGTGAGTTGGATCTCTCACGTATTGATGCAGTCCATAGCTGGCCAATACTTCAGTCAGTTTGGCCGTGTTTCTTGATTTATGTTCATCCAAATGAATATTAAGATCACCACAGATTAAAAACTTCTTGTATTTCATGAATATGTTCCCAATAAACTCATCCAAATCTTCAAAAAATACATCAGTCAATGACCCTGGTCGGTAAACACAAGCACAGAGGACAGTATCACCCGATGAGTCCCGAAATTTGCCTAAAACTGCTTCAAACGTATCTCCACACTTATCAAACACAGGAGTAAGGTTCAAATCACTTGAATTATAAATAATTCCAACTCCTCCGCCTCTGCATTTAACGGAGTCTTTCCTGATGTAGTGAATCAAGTTATAGCCGTAAGACTTGATGGTAGCAGTAACATCATTCTTCATGCTGGTGAGCCAAGTCTCAGTGACAAAAAGGACAGAGATTCTTTGGTCGATTATAGATTCCATGATTGGTTGAATCTTATTATTGAGAGATCTCACATTCCAGCAACAGCCAAGAATCTCTGTCGGAGAGGATTTCAGACCACTGCTTACAAGTTTTTTGAACTGTAGTAATTGATAGTTTTGCGGAGATGCTGCTGTTCAGCAACATAAGCTGGACATGTCCTATCAAATGCCGTGTGTGTGTTTCTTTCATCCCGATACTTGCCTTTAGAGCAGTTAATGCAGCATGGGATAGGACTATTGGTTTTCTTTTCTGGACAATCTTCTGACGTATGATTCTTGGAACAATAACCACAAATAGCTTTTTCTGATTCACACTCCGACCTGTAGTGTCCAAAACCTTGGCATTTGTTGCATCGTTTTACATGAAATTGATCATAAACTTTGCAACTAAACGAACTGATGTATAGCCGATCTCCCTGTTGTTCTATGATTTTCCTGATATTGTTACTAACTCGTATAGTAGCTTGATGCTTGCTGCTGTTTTTGATCTGAGGTTTAACTTTTAGTACGGAAAATGTTTCACCCTGGGATTTTAATGCCTTAATGTTGGGGTGAGCTTGAAGGAGCAGGTCTTCTAGATCTTCTTCAGAATAATTATCAGCAAGGTTAGCAACAGAGATTGTGGGCAAACGTTCTGGTGGCTGGTGCGTTTTTATTTCTGGAAGTTGCTGGGATACTTTCTTGACGAGATTTTCCCTGTCAGCCGTTGTCGGACACACAACCACAATTTCCCCTTTCTTGTTGACATACCGTTTGTCAGCATGAATGGCGTTGTCTTTGATGATTTTGTCAACATCTTTGCGATCTTGATCTTGATTTTCTGGTGTTTTGCTGGACATGATTAATACAGAGCGATATGAAGGGGCAACTGGTGCTGGAGATGAAGGAGAAGAAATTTCAGTTATGTCCGGAGATGTTTTCATATTCACAACTTTCATAAGTAAACCCTTCATGTCCTCCATAGATTGGGTCAGATTATCTACTCGCCTGTCAATCAGGTCGACTTTACTTTCGGCATTGACTGCGGAGTTCTGTTCAGAGTGTGTCTTGCAGACATTACACACAAACGTAAAAGTCCCAAATCTGGAACTGTTAACACCCTTGGTTGCGTTTCTGTCGGAATATGCTTTGAAGAAAGTGCGAGGACAGATTACATCAGTATTAATCCTATCTTTATCAGCATCTCGACAAACAGCATGAAATGACGATTTACACAAAAAGCAGGTAAGAGCAGTGTCATTAGCTTGAGCATCATTACAGGTGTTACAAGTGCCGTCTTTAATGTAGGCAAACTGGTATTGAAGAGTGTTACCTTGTCGCTGTTGAGTACTTTCAGAGGATGTGGATGAGTTCAGGAAAGGTGTGAAATGTTGCGGGGCCGGGGATAACATATCTTCGCTAACATTCCCGTCATTCTTTTGCATAACATCCTGTAACGAGATTGAGGACCTGTTACCCTCATCATCAACACTACCTTCTCCGATCATTGCGCACTTCTTTTACAAAGTGAAACAGTGCAAATCAGCAAAGTCAGTAGAGAATCAAAATTGAGTTCGGGGTCCTCAAATTATTTGTTATATAGTAGTGTTGAAAGTATTAAAACTTAAATTTAGAAACCACATAATAATTAGAAACCACATAATAATTAATATGCAAGGCTTAAATAAGAAAACCGAAATTCTTCAGTTACTTAAATTTCGTCATTGACTGTGTTGACTACCTTTGATCCTGACGAAGAATTCCATTCACAGTCAACTCCAAGAACATTTTTATTGAATATTGACTCCAAAGAAACTGAAATTTATTTGTATATTGCCACAGCTTTGTACTATCTAGTTTGTAGGACTTCAAATAGTGGTGATTGGGACAAATTCATCAAATTTTAAACATTTCAAGGACACCAATTATTCACTTTGAGGTACTGGCATTGACTATAGTGCTTCTAAATAAAAACTAAAGTTTTAAAATTACATACCAAATTCAGCTTGTTTTAAGTCGTCAACGATCGTTATTTTCTGTAAGGTCTGATAATCCCTGAGATTCATAGATTTGCTGCAACATAAAATTAGACTAACATTCTATATAATAATAATAATAATAATGAGTTGGAGGACGAGGGCTATAAGTATCTGGGAATACTAGAAGCCAATGATATACTGCACAAAGAGATGAAAGCACTGGTTACAAAGGAGTATATCAGAAGAGTTAAAAAGGTTTTAAAATCCCAGCTTCATGGCAGGAATAGTATACAAGCAATTAACACCTGGGCCGTACCTGTGATAAGATATGGAGCTGGAATTCTCTCATGGAATGCTGGAGAGACCAAAGCCTTAGATGTCAAGACCCGGAAACTGATGAGGATAAATGGAGCTCACCACCCCCAAGGAGATGTTGATCGGTTATACGTAAGCCGTCAACTGGGTGGCCGTGGGCTACATAGTATAGAGGAAGTCGTAAAGAGAGAGGAGAATGCACTCACCACTTATGTGGTGAGAAGTAGAGACCCAGAACTGATTGCTCTGAAGGACTACTTTGTCAAAGACAAGATACTCTTGGGTGAAGAGATAGAGAAAGATATCGACCGAACACAACGCGAGGAAATCCGCAAGGAGAAGTGGACTGCTAAAGTGATGCACGGACAGTTCCCAAGGCAGATGATGGGTATAGCGGACCCGTTAACCTCTTGGAACTGGCTCACTCAACAAGACTTGAAGAAGGAGACAGAAGGATTGTTGATAGCAGCCCAAGACCAAGCACTTAGGACGAATTATGTGAAGCACAGGATTGACAAAACACCTGGCTCTTCTCCCCTCTGCAGACTCTGCAGAAATCATTACGAGACAATAGACCACATACTGAATGGGTGCCCAAAACTTTCACAGACAGAATATAAGTGTCGGCATGACAAAGTAGCTGCCGCATTGCACTGGAGTCTGTGCAAGGAATACGGCTTCCCACGCAGTAAAAGGTGGTACGAACACCGGGCAGAGAAGGTGCTGGAGAACGAAAAAGTCAAGATATTGTGGGACTTCCATGTCCAGTCGGACCACGTTATCGAACACTGCAGACCGGATCTCCTCCTGGTAGACAAGGTAACCAACGCAGCAACCATCATTGACGTTGCAGTCCCAGGAGATACCCGGATCCTGGATAGAGAACAAGAAAAGATACTGAAATATCAAGACCTAAAAAGAGAAATTAAGAAGAACTGGAATTTACGAAAGGTCACAATCGTCCCTGTGGTGATAGGCGCATTAGGAACTATCACCATTAACTTTCGTAAACACCTCGACGCAGTCCACTGCAATCTGAGCATCTCTAATCTCCAGAAGACAGCTCTGCTAGGATCAGCCAGAATTCTCAGGATGGTCTTAGACATATGATATTATTGAGAGTATAATACACTGTAGATACTCTATATTTAGTTTATTCTTCACTGGATACTGTAATAAACACTTTTTACCTGGTCCTCTTATTTCTCTTCCCTTGCTATGCAAGCCCTGTCTCTTGTTTATACAATTTTTAACCCGTATATTGGGTAGACTGTGTAATTGTTATGTATTTTATATTAAATACAGTTTTGTGTACAAGTAATTATTGTTATTTAATGGACTAAGGGGTATACATGTGTTGGAGTTTTTCTCTTATTCTTCTTCTCTTGCTCTGCATGCCCTGATTCTTGTATAAACATGATGTTTGTTTAAATATTGTATATTCTTGTATTGATTGTGGTATTTTGTGGGTCAGATTCAGCAATACCCAATGGGTACTTGCTGAATCACTGTTTTATACACTCTGTAGCCAGTCCCTGTGTTCCGTCCCTTGCCCTGCAAGCCCTGTTTCTTGATTATATAGCATTGATTTATCGTGTATTACATTGTAGTATGTAATAAACATTTGTAGTAGTATAGGATTGTTTGAATTTCTTTTTGCTAGGTTTTATAATATTTATTTGTATAATTTGTGATTGTTTCTCCCGGTTTTCTTCCCTTGCGTAGCAAGCCCTGTCTCTTGTAAAAACAACCTCGAAAGATTTGTAGATACACATAGTCTCTACACCTTTACCCTCTGGTCCCTAGGGTCAGCTGATCCCGGGCCAGAGGGAAACTACCGACTGCCAAGGTTTGACGCCTAGGCAGTCGAGACCTCTTATTGAGACCCTTTATAATAATAATAAATTAATGTTATTTTGATACAGCACCAAAAGGTTAAATAATTTAATATTAATATAATTAATTTAAATTTAACCCTTATACTCAGCTGTAAATGATACCTAAATGACAGTAGAGATCGTGCATCTCGCCTTGGACTGGAGTAAAAACGGAAGTTTATAGCTGCAAGTTAAATCCTAACTAAATAAGGCAGAAACACCTTTCACAAGAAGATATCCAAGAAAGGTTAGCAGGTTTTCTAACAAAACATATGACAAATAGATGATGACCACAAGAAATCTATGTATGAGACTCATGAGACTAACAAAAAGATATACAAGATAATAAAGATGAAAAATCATAAAATATTAAAATTTCTGTAAGAATCTATAGAACTCCAAATATACAGTCAATCTGAATACTTCAATATACAATACAAAATTATTAAAAAAAGCTTACTGCAGAACAGTAACTGATGTTACAGAAAATCCATTCCTATGTGCTCTTTGCAGAATTAAAAGAGCACATAGGAAAAATGCAGATAGACCCCGTATTATATTCAAATAATATACACAGATAAGTTCAGAAATAGTTACTGTCTACAGTCTAATCATAGTAACTGTATATAGCATAGTTAGGCAACTTCTAAAGCATAATTCAGTCAATAACAATTATAAACAGTAAATAAAGGACAAAGGTACCCACTGCAACGAGCAGTTCACCCAACAAATTAAACACCCTTTTATTGAAACACTTATGATCATATGATATAATACAAGGTTCAGGTCCAAATCACAAAAGTTGCACATAACAGCAAGTTGCATATAACAGCAAGTTGCATATAACAGCAAGTTTTTTTCTATATAATTTAATTTCTCCTTTGTATTTCTGTACTAGACTGCATGACTTAATGTCGCTCCAAGTATACCGGACAGACCTACAGACCCCTGATCCACCACATGAAAGAACACGAACGATGTTACAGACTCAACAATGTCTTCGACGAAACCACAGACAGGATCAAATCCGCCCCCGCCCACCATGCCCTGACCACTTGACGGATGTTACTCGTCTAAATTTCTTCGAAGTAGCGCGCGCCGGGCCAGATCATTAACAATGGTCAACCTGACCACTGGACATCTCCTGGGACCTAGAACAACATAGAAGTCCTCACAACACGATCTCAACTTGACTTGACAGAACACGCCGCTATTCAGATAAGACAACCCTTCATGAACAGAACTGAATGTGCCCCCAAATGTAGCTCACTATGGGAACCATCCTTCCCAAGATTGCTTCATCTCTAAAGACCAGGCCATCTGGCATTTCCGGATGGCCTCAGAAGCCTAGTTTTTTAATTTGAATATTATTTTAATGCAAATTTTAAAAATTTGTCGCCCTGGCCCTCTCCACTCCACCCTTGCACGTCACACACCACTCATCATTGACACCACGCCATCATATATAATCATCCCTTCACAACATCATCCCCAGCTGAAGACTCATGTATTTTGAAAGCTCCTGCTAAAACAAACTTTTCGTATCACTTTTGATTGGCGAAGTCAACCCTTCCAGATCGTTGCTAGCTCTGTAAAGCAACGATATAGTCTTTGATGCGAAGCAAGAATGCTAGTTTGCGCGGCGCATCAAAGCGGCGAAGTCCTCCAAGTATATCACTTATAGGTTTTAAATAATCCCCTCTAGGTGCATGACTTAATCATTAATGCATATTCAGATCAGCAAATCTTCATTTGATGAAAGCCATGATTGCATCAAAGTATCGTCGACTTTTTAAACTGATTGACGATGTCAACCTTCGACTGTCGACGCGCCGCGCGAATTATCATTTTTGGCAAAAAATAATATAATAGTTCGCGCGGCGCGTCGAAGCGGCAACGTTCTTCAACTTTTTTAATGGCTTATACTTTTTGTTATTGCTATACATGCTAGACATACTAGGCCGTGCTTTAAAAAATGAAATACCTCTGGTGCCATGGCCATTCTTCGTTTTATTATTATTGATAAATATTATAATATTTATATTGTGGTGTAATATGTAAATAGCTTTTCACCATGTGCCATTGTCGAAATATATCACTTTGGATCGAGGCCGACTTCGCTGCTTCGACGCGCCGCGCAAACTAGCATTCTTGCGTCGCATTCTTGCTTCGCATTCTTGCTTTGCATCGAAATTGTTGCTTCATGCTTTGTTTGATCGCAGAGCAATGATCTGGAAGTTCACATAGCCATGTGTATACGCGTACTATACTGCGGTCGCGCGCTACAGCAAGCGAGAGGGCTCTGATTAGAGCAAATCTGGAAGGGTTGACAACGTCAATTAATATGTTACTCGTCTAAATTTAAGCGCGCGCCGCTAATTTCTTTTCGAAATGTTAGCCCGAGGCAAGCTTGCTACAAAGTAGTGCGTACCGGGCTAGTTCACGTTCATTAACAATAGACAATTTGTTCGCCGCGTGTGCAGTGTTGTGTAAGCTTTGTTTGTGCAAATTTGTAGTTCTTGCATGGTATATATATAAAATATAACATAACTTCCACAGTTTCAGTTATTTAATTGAAATAATTGTTATGGTCAATGCCAATGGTCATGGAGTCGTAATACTAATCGATCAGCGCACCAAGACAAAACTTTTGGTACCTGCAGTATTTTAAAACTTAAAGGAACATTATTTTTAATTTGTTAACAAAAACTGAACCTGTGCACTTAACTGTGAATTTTTGAAAATCTTTTGGTCCCTCCGATATTATAATCTTGGCACCAAAAGTTGCGTCTGATCAAGCTAATTAAATTATGATCCTGTAGAATTTATTTCAAAATTTAAGCAAGAACAAAGAAATTACCCATTTTTCGTCTTTTTTGCAATGCACAGGAGGCCTACAAGTACATACAACTCGAGCTTATCGTGCTGCATTGTTGATTGTGAATTTGCATTATTCATACTTAAAGGTAACTACCAAATTTGTCAAAATCGGACACGAAAAATTCTGTGCCAACTCATGACGCTAACTACATAGACTATAACAATAACATCTAAGTACTAGCAGGAACCCGTCTAAAGTGGTGTCAAGACTCAAGAGACTAAAATAATTATTACCCATTTAATTCGCGTTTTTGACACCACTTGGGGGTACAAATTTTGGGCACTAAAATTCTTATTCCTTGGCAAATTTTTTATTTTTTCATGCTGATTTGAAGGTTGACCATTGTTAATGGTCTGGCCCGGCGCGCGCTACTTCGAAGAAATTTAGACGAGTAACATCCGTTGAAGGCCATTAGACTTAGAGCATTTGAAACAACCAAAAAGGTTTAACTTGTATATCTTTTACGGTTTTTGCGGAAAGTCGTGTTATAGTTGATGTCGTGGTGTCGTAAAATGGTACGGATACATATATATATCAACACCGACTTTTAAAGTGTAGGAGTACAGCAACGAAATATATATATATATATATATCGTCTCGCTTTATATATAGTAAGATAGTGCCGCGGCCGCCATATGACGGCAAATATCCGTTTGGATATTTACGCTAGATTAATTTCTACTCACAGTTTGAGAGTTATATAACCTTTTTTATAGACAATTAAATTAAATCGAAACGTAGGACTCGGTAATAATACACTGGTTCATTGTAATGGACATTCGCTATCCAACTATAAAGCAATTGCAGCTGGAAATATTATAGTTATACAATAACAATATGCAATACACAATAGTTATCTTTTCTGTTGACTTTTGTATTTCATCCTAATTGCTAATACTGATTATTAACTAAAATATAAATTTCTACAATTACAATTATTTCTTTTATGAGGGTCACATAATGATTAAGGGGTCGTCCACATATTATGTAATCATTTTTTGGAAATATTTACCCCCCCCCCCCCCCCTCCGTAATCAGTTTTACACATAGCTATTGTGTCAAAATTACACTTCCGTAATCATTTGGAAACCCCCTCCCCCGCGGCTGATAAAGTAATATGCGAACGACCCCTAAGTGTAAAGGAGGCATACTACAAATATAATACAACATAGTTCTTTGTACAACACAGTTCTTATACAATCAATCATATATTCTACCTCAATCAAATTCAGAATCTAAAATTACCATCGTAACAATGAATTACTTTATACTTCTATTATATATGATACAGATTGCAGTCCTGACTGCAGGTTAGCTTTTGTTTAAGTTGATGAGAGATGTTTCAACTTTTGTTAAAAAGCGAAGGAAATAATGTTACCGATCGACTAAATAAATAATCAACAGCATTTATAATATCTGATTAAACATTCTCATAATCATAATTCATACCTTATTTTCACATATATGTTAAACCATACGATCAAGTTTTGTCGATTTGAAATGAAAAATATGGCCTACAAGAGTTATGATTATTTAATAAGCAAACTTCGGCCTATAATGTGCGTTATGGCGGTGGATCATAATTACGTCATCATATATAATATTTATGGTATGTTAGTTATCGATCTATATAAAAACCGAAATTGCCGCCTCAATTTATTTGATCAAAATTTTTTAACACATAATGTTTTAAATATAATCACATGTATTGACATAAACTAAAAATCACGAAACAAAATTAAGAATGATTAGTTACTAAAATATTTCTACATATCTGCTATTAATTAATATTAGTCTTGTTACGAGCTTCTTCGCCATTAATGAAACACTCGACTGCATTGTTTAATATTTAATGTTTGTGAAGACATAAAATACAGTCAACATTTAAAAGATTCTGATGTTTTCTGAATATATAATTAAACATGCTATAAATCTCTGGCAAAATCATAAATCAACAGAAAGTTATACGTCGCTATCGAATATGATAACTGATAAAACCATCGACAAACTTCACAAATCACGACACACGCACCTGCTTGTTCTAGGGTAAATTTATCAAACAATTATTTTACCTGACCAGAATTTATTTGATGTGAACACTTTCAGAGGGATATAGAACACGAAAAGTTATAAAATACAGCTTTTTCACGAATCAAAAATGACGAGTTCATTGTTTAAGAAAAATGTACGTCAACTTCTAACCAGTACTGCCACTTAGTTAAACTGCACCGCTACTAACATTTCTATACAGATGAAAAAAGTAAAAAATTTCTGAGAGTCAATACTACAAACAGGTGCACAATCTTATCTAAAAACTGAACAAAAACAACAACATCTGACATCACGATCACCAATACGTATGGTAATGGCGACCTCCGCTCCAAATATCACACCCTGACTTTAGCGTTACTTGCGATACTGGCTCTTCTGTTCATGGACACTCGGCTGAGGCGTCTGCCCTCTGCGGAGGAATCCTCAACTTGAGATTCCTTCTTACCCCCGTAACAACATGAACAACATCCTCTCTTCACGACTGTTTCGTCCTCTGATCGCTGGTCTTTAGCGAAGTTCAGGAACACCTGCAAAGAGTTATCTCCAATATCTTTTGACTTGCTATATTCTTTAGTTGAGCAATGAGCTGATCAAGAGTTTCTTAAGCTACAAATTCCGATCTCTGTGCAAACAGTTGGATTAAGAAAACGATAATAATGCGATCATGACCTTTGATATCTTATAAATCATGGTTGTGAAAGTACATCGGAATAGTTAAATTTAGTTAAATTTAGTTAAATCTAAAACGTACCTGTTCTAAAGATGTCTGGTTGACTGCGTAGTCCGTAATATAGAGAGGTTTCCTATTCTTTTCCATCTCATCAAAGATAGTACTCCACGCAATTCCGGCACTCAACTCGTAATGTAAATACCCTGGCAATTATCTGTTTTATTTCTTGTTAATTTAAAAAGCGTACAAACATTGTAAAGCAAAGGGATGGTTAGTTGTGTATTTTGTTTGTGCAAAAATACAGTTTCATAAAACATACCCATATGTTCTTCCTTAAGAATTGCATCAGGGAAGATTTTCTTCATGAAAAGGATACAGTTTTCCTGTTTCTCCTCGGACATGGTCATCGTTAACGTATACCCATCACCATACCTGCAAAAAGAGTTTCAGCTGTAATCACCGGCTAGATACTTGCAGCAAACAAGCTTTCAGAACAACAGCTCAAGTTACATAATCTAGATAGAACACGAGTAGATATATTAGACAATAACGTATAAGATAAGAGGATAAGAGATAATTAATTTTAACAAACCAGTTGGGAGGAGATCTCATTAGTAACTGGCATGTTAGTGACCTTTACTCCAACTCTGACCATCGCTATATTATGTTCGATATAACTACAGGGCCAAAGAAGGAACCCAAACAGATCCGACTAGTCAAAAACACTGACTGGGACAGATTTGATGAGATCCTATCGAATAACCCCAATCTTAACAACACACAAATCAACACTACGACTGAAATTGATCACAAAATAGACATAATCAATACTGCAATAAAGGAAGCCTTCGAGGAGGCATGCCGCATTACTTACATCTCAAGTTCCGTCCGCAAACCCCCCTGGCTAACTCGAGAAGTAGAGGAAGCACAGAGGGGAATAAGACAAAAACTGATTACTGCCCGCAAAAAGAAGACTGATGCCCTGTGGCTCGCTCTTAGAGAGAGCAACAAACAATACAACAGACTTATAACCAACTCCAAGCGTAATGCCTGGAGAACTTTTTGTCAGGAAACAGAGTCTGTTAAGGAATCCGGAAGGATGAATAAGATTCTGAAATCCTGTAACGACAACAAACATACACTAGAAGCCGTTTACAAACCAAACGGAGACATCACCAAAAATGCAGAGGAGACATTGGAGGTCATGACACGAACCCACTTCAAGGATAGTGTCACTGATCCGCTAGTGCCTCCACCTGGTCCTCTACCAATCACCACCACCTTACTCAATACAATCTACAGCCCAGACAGAATCGAGGAGGCTCTTAAATCCTTCGATCCGTTGAAAGCTGCTGGACCCGACACCCTCAAACCTATCATCATACAGAAAGCTTGGACACACATCAAAGACATCACCAGAACCATTATGACAAAAAATCATGAAACCCAACACATTCCAACTTTGTGGAAAGAATCCCTTGGAATCTTTCTCCCAAAGCCTGGAAAAACTGACTACAACCAACCGAAGTCATTTCGCACTATCACCCTTTCTCCAGTGATGTTAAAACTACAGGAGAAGGTGATACTGTGGCATATGCAACACGACCTAAATATCGCTAATGACATCAGCAAACGACAATTTGGCTTTAAGAAGGGATGTTCAACCGAAGCAGCCCTTCATAAAGTTACTCACACCATCGAGCGCAGGATAGCTAAGAAGGGATATGTCCTAGGCGTCTTTCTAGATATAGAGGGAGCTTTTGATAATGTCTCTTTCAAGGCTATTTCTGACGCTATCAAGACCACGAAAGTGGATCTGGCCACAGCACAATGGATTATCAACATGGTAACTAACAGATTCATCACATTAAATCATAAGGATAAGTCGGCAAGGGTTCGGATCCGGAGAGGGTGCCCCCAAGGTGGCATCCTTTCCCCATTCCTCTGGAACCTGGTAGTCGATGACCTCCTGGCCTACACCGCAAGAGACAATTAGAGACATACCAGGTTATCTGCAAGCTTTTGCAGACGATCTGCTCTCTCTAGCGGAGGGGAATGATTTAGATATCATCTGGAACAGAACACGCAAAACCATCAACACAATAGAAAAATGGTGCCAAACCAAAGATCTATCCATAAGCGCACTCAAAACACAAATAGTCATGTTTACCTGGAATAAGAAATGGACACAAAGACCTGTGGTGGTGGGTAACACCACTATAGGTCTATCCAAATCTGCCAAATTCCTAGGAGTGACCCTCGACAGCAAGCTCAATTTCAATGAACATATCACCAATACCACCAAAAAAGCTACGGCATCCCTTATGCAATGTAGAAGAGCTGTCGGCCCCACTTGGGGTATGAGCCCTAAAACATGCAAATGGATGTACACCGCTGTCATCAGACCTATTCTATCGTACTGCTGTAGTATATGGATTAGGGCAACCCAAACAGACACCAACGCGAGGAAGTTCAAACGAGTTCAGGCATTGGCATTAAGAATGATGTCTGGTGCCATGCCTAGTACTCCCTTCATCGCACTGAACCACCTCACTAACACTCCAGATATCATACTTTTCCTGAGAGGTGAAGCAGCAAAGGGCACAGCCAGGCTTCAAGCCTATGGAAGCCTAACCCTCGAAACTATCGCCCCCAGAAAAGGTACCATCACAACTCACACCACTATCAACAAACAATTCATGGTAGATCTCAACATACCACCCAAAGCAGAGAGAGACCTATCTATACCAACCATGATGCTTGAACGACGCTTCACGGTCACCACTCCTGGAGCTGACAACATTGGATATAGAGGCTCACTCCAAAACACCATCGACAACATCCCCAGTGAAACCATCACCTGCTACACAGACGGGTCACGCACAGACTCAGGTAGCGGGGCTGGTTATATTATCACCACAGACAACAACAACACTACACTAGATGAAAGATCATTCAAGCTTCCCGATTATTGCACCGTTTATCAAACAGAACTCACTGCCATCATCGAAGCTTGTAAATATCTATCAACTTATGCAAACACACACATCATCATATGGTCAGACAGTCTCTCCTCTATTCAAGCCATATCCTCACCTTCAACGAGGAGTAGGACTACTAGAGACTGTTACGACACCCTCAATACACTCGGATCCACTAACACCTTAGAGATCAGATGGATAGCTGCACACATCGGATTGTGGGGTAATGAAAAAGCAGACGAGCTGGCCAAAAATGGTACAACCAGTGAATCCACTTTGAATTGCCCAATTCCACAATCTTTCATCAAACGCCTGATCAACGACAAAGTCACAAAACTTAATCAAGAATCATGGATTACTGATGGTCCCAGACACACTAAACTGACACTTAGACATAAAAACATCAACATCATCAAAAATCTCAACACTACACTCAGTAACAACAGACAAAATTACAGAACTGCAGTGCACCTCATCACGGGACATTGTGGCCTCAACAAACACCTACACACCATTCGCAAATCAGACACAAGTGCTTGTCCTAAATTCGGCGACGGAGAGGAGACTGTCTCACACTTTCTCGGACAGTGCCCGGCTATTGCCCAAATAAGAGGTCAATATTTCCGGGACTACTACCTCTCTGTCAATGACATATTCGACAACCAACACATCTCCACCATTGTCAACTTTACAAACCACACTAAACGCTTAGTGGTGCCAGAGGAGTTGGACCAGACAGGTGTAACATAGCGACTACTTTAACGCCGTCTTATTTCGCCTCTCTCTTCCACACTCAAACACCACTTAAGCGTTCATCTATGACACACCCCACAACACTTACCATCATCCTTGATTACACATCTTGATTCCACTGGCATCCTCCCACAGGACTGCCATACCCCAGAGGTAGGCAAAGCATTCATATGCTATCCTCTCGTGGGCCAACCAGGCCCAGCCTCTCTTTAAAAAATTTAAAAAAAAAGAAAAAAAAAAGAGATAATTCCCCTGAGTAAGATTAAATAAGGGTGATATTACTAATAAGCGTGGTCTTATTAACTTACTTTCCCTTGAGATGCTGAATGCCTCCCAAACACCTAAAGGCCCCGTTAACCATGATAACTAATCTGTTGCACAGTGCCTCACACTCCTCCATGGAGTGAGTAGTTAGCACAATACTTGTACCTGATAAAAGTGATGCAGTAAGAGGAAGGTAAACACGTGACTAAGAGGAAGGTAGTCACGCGACTAACTATTTACTCACGGTTTTGTGACAAATCAAAAATGGACTCTAATGTAAATTCGAACATCAAAGTGTGAGTATTAATGATATTCAATAAATACCAATGTTAGCAGCGATGAGATCGGCGAGAACAGTCCACAAGAATCGTCTAGCATTGGGGTCCATTCCTGCAGTGGGTTCATCCAGGAACAGGACTTCAGGGTTACCTACCAGGGCTATAGCAGTGGACAACTTCCTCTTGTTTCCTGAACATGAACTATTCTTGACAACTAATACACAATGAGAAAAACTTCGACGTTGACATTATTTACAGGTTAAGTATCAACGTGGACATATAAGGGCAATCACGATATATCACTCATAGAATTAAATAACACCGAACTAAAAAACTACAACAAATTCACGGAACTAAAGAGTCCTCACCTCCGCTGTAACTTCCACACAGTTTGTCAGCATACTCGTCTAAGTTCAAGTTCTTGATTGCCTCGTTAACTGTTTGTTCGATCTCTTGTCTGGGAATACCTCTACAGTTAGCAAACATGCTGAGCAGCTCTCTTCCGGTCATCACACCTGAGGAGGAGGGGGAGGGGAGTAAGAATATCATCTAACAGACCCTTTCTTTGAGCGGTCATGGTACAAATAACTAAATAAGATGGAAACAAGGGTTTTAATAAAAACTACGACACTGAAACCAGCCACTGTGCTTTCAGATAGCAGAAACATTGAGATTACTCCAGAACATTTAAATAAACCTATTAGGGCGTCAAATTGAGGGCAGTATCCGATACGTTGCTGTATTTTTCTGATGTCCTTCTTCAAATCATACCCAGCGATAAAAGCCTCTCCTCCGGTCAAGGGTACGTCTCCAGTCAGCATGGAGAATGTTGTAGTCTTACCTGCTCCGTTAACTCCCAGTAAACCAAAACACTGGTTTTTGGGAATACCTGAAGTTGTAATGGGAGGAATTAAAGACGGTACATAATCTACTAAAAAAGAAAACTACATGTTAGATGAAAAGTTAATCAGTATAATGAATCAAAAACAGGAAACACCACCCGCAGATCTCACCTAAAGTAAGGTTTTGGACAGCAATAGTGTCTCCATAACACTTCCTGAGATTAGTCATGACAACGGCACTCTCCTTCGTGAGTTTCTGAACCTCGCAAGAGACACGTGTCCTCTCCGCCTTCACGTCGTCGTCCTCGCCGTGAGGGATCGGAGATTTTACACCAGTTTTACCCATCAGTGAGATAGTTTTACCGAGCATCTGAGCGGGGAAATTAGTTGCATTTTGGTTGAACAGTAGTTTTGCGTACTTAGAGAGGTGTTTTATACCCTAAATCACAAATCAGCTGTTTGAAATAGTTTGAACAGATTAACTACGGATAATGATTAATAAATTACCTCGTTGGAAAGAACAATGATCATGGCTGCAGTGCCAACAGCGAACATTGCAAGAAGTTCCTCCCCGATACTAAGATTAGGTCCATCCACTGCGAAAACGGATGAAGTTGTAAACCCTTGCTTCTTGCATTGAATTTCACCAAATGCTCCAACGCACGTGTCGTAAACGAATCTCTGGATCCCATTTCCATAGATATCTGTCAGTCCTTGGATAAAACTGAAAAGATTTTTATGATGGTTATTCTGGGTTATACTTATTCTCCGTCGTAAGCTCACAAATGTTCTGTATTTTAAGCTCGTAATTCAAGTTACAAAGACGGTTCTTATGAACAATAATAATTGTGAAAAGCTCTCAGTCTTCAATGTGAGATATCCATATCAATTCAGATTAATTGATAGTTGTAAGACGGAATAACATTTATCATATAACTGCAGTCTTGTGTGAGATAGTGGATTAGGATGGAGATGAAGGATGGAATAATGGTTTTTATCCCTGTATCATATTACTGCAGTAGTCCTGTAGTCATTGGTGGGCCCGGGATGAAATTTCAAATTGAGACGATGCCCATCAGCCCTCATAGATTTGGAAATTTTGAATAAAGGAAATTAATATTATAAAGAGTGTCGTAATTTGCTTTTTGAGATTTTGCCTTTGGGCCGTCTCTGTTTCTTTTTCCGGATGAGAAACACGGACGATGGGATTCATCCACCTTTTGAGGATGTCTTCATGTTCGTTGTCCCGATCAACATCCCTCTGTGTATCCTAGTGCTAGCTATCTGTTCCATAGTCCTGACCTACTACTGGAGAAACCGCGGAACCCTCACAAACACACTGTTTCTCCTGATAACAGCTGCTGACTTGATCACGTGTGTAGGTCACCTGATCCTGATGATATGTTGTGTACTAATGTCACGTCACATTATACCACTACATATCTCTGCTACGGTATGTGTAGTGATACACACCCTTCTGTCACTACTCGGCTACGCCTCATCGATTCTCTTGAACATGATACTTGCTGTTTTGAGGACTGTTAAAATATCCTTCCCTTTCCACCAAGTCAAAGTTGGAACTCTGATGTTAGCAGTAACTCTTCTCGCGTGTATTTTAGTGGTATTGTCTGTGATTGATGTATGGTTTACTATTAATTATTCACTGCATATTAAATTTTTCCTTTGGGGTTTTCTCTGGAGTAATGTAGAGATTTCTTTTGTTGGCCATAATCTATGGAATTTCATTAATTTTGTTTTACACGATTATATCAGCTGGAAAAGTCAGTTCATGATAAAAAATCTGCTGGCAGGATGGATATACTTAGCACCGATCGGGGTCGTCATGATCTGCCTCGTGACCCAATTCATTGTCACGTGGCACAGAGCACGTGCACGTGACCCTGACTTTCCAGTGGTCACTGATTGGTCACGTGTCAATACAACAGTTTCCATCATCTCAGCTGTTTTCTTGGTCTGTAACTCCGGAATAGCAGTCCTACAGATCTACTACCAAGTGAGCAGCCAAGATGATTTCCCTGATTCCTTTGCCTGGTCAGTTTGCAAGCTGATGATAAGCACGACATTGCCGCTAATGAACGCACTTCTGACACCGCTTATAATATTAGCTAGAAGTAGGGAACTACGAAGGAATGTCATAATGATGATCAAACGAGCTTTAAGATTCCCAGCACCAGCAGCGAACTAAAACACTGGAAACCTCGGACTAGGTTACTCTCAGGGACACGCGATAAAAATAATATCCATGCGAACTTTATTATTGATTCACATTCAGTGAAACAAGTTTCAAAACCAAATGTTAATAAAAGCAAACAATTTATGATTTGTGTTTTTTGTTTATACTTATTTTGATTGTTTTTCATCAAACGGTTTCAAGTTATGTCTTGGCATTTGACAAAGTTTACTATTTTAGAAAACTTTAAGAGACGGATGATCTCGCATATTACAGAAGAAATCTTCCCAAAAATTGAACACACGAATCAACTATACTTAAAACACTATTTTTTCCTGAATTTACCTACTTTAGTCGAACCCGATATGTGAAGGATAAAAATAGCAACTAAGTCGGAGTAAATTGTGTTTTCTTACCAGAAGTTGGGAAGAATGAGCAGTATTTTCTGTAGAGTGGGTTGGAAATCATCATTTTGAATAGTCAGAATGAGGTTAGCTATGTAGCCCGCCTGAAAAGAGCGAAAATTAAAATGTTAATCTATGTCAATAACACCACTATTATTTATATTCCAGACAGATTATCGCTGTTTTGATGAGATGTTACAAGTTTCATGCATCTTTGAACAGTTCTGAGCCCGTGAACGCGGGTCACTTCTAACAAACTGTAAGGGGAGGACCTACCAGCCCAGAGATAAAGGTGAAGACAGCAATGATAGCGTACGCAGACACCGGAGAGTTGAAGGGAAGTGAACACAGATATACAAATGGAATACTTGCATAACCATATATCAGCTGAAATGGAAAAATATCATGGTAGTCATCGAATAGTTGAAGATCTTACGTCAAGTATTGCAACACTTGATTGCTGTACTACGTTGTATAACAGAAGTCAATACGATCTTGAAAATAAAAAATCTAGCGAGCTTATAATATCTAAAAATAAATATCACACAAAACTTACCAGATGAACAAAGACAGCTCCAATGGCCTGGCCTCGCAGTCCCTCCAGGTTGAAGATGAGGAAGACGATGGTGACGATCAAGATACAGACGGTATAGTTCAACATGTCCCACATGAAGGTGCCCGCCCAGTAGACAATTCCGTTAACTCCACTTATTTGTTGCAAATGTTTACTCTGGGGTTGGGAAAATATATCAGATATGTGTTCACAAGCTGACTATCAGACTTTGAAAACCAGAACCAAAGTTCAGAGTGAGAGTTCCAGAAAAAATATCTACATGAAAAATAGTTGGCTGTTCAGAGATCTTAGGAAAAATTGCTTTCTTTTAAACAAACTTAATAAAGCAATAGTGAAAAGAGGTAAATATTCGACTGTACTAACCTTGTTCTCACGCTCCTCCACTACGAACAGTACGAATGAGGTGGTGAGAAAAGAGAACCCAAGCAACATCATGATCGATAAGCTACCAGCTTGAAGACTAGCTCCTGCGTCCATAAACTGAAAAACAGAGTGTGAATGGTTGAGAAATCACAATCAATGTTCGTCACTACAGAATATGAACTAAGTAAAACTTATAATTAATAATTCAACAAAACATACCCTATCAATAAGAGATTTAGGTAGCGGTCTGTTCATCACGTTTATCCTTTTACTCTTTCCCCCAGAAACTAGCTGCATGTTACTCATCGCATTCTGAACCCCTGGTGCAAGATGAATGCCCTCATGAGAAAACCAGCCAGTGAGAACTATCTGTTTCTCGGCGTCAAGATTTGTGGTACCCAGGACAAAGTCTGCCGACGATTCATCATAATCATCGAGGGCCTTGCCGTCAGTAGATTTCAGCTGGTGGATATGAGATTGTTAGTACGATATATTACAGAAATGGTTACTGGGTGTTCGTTACCAAATGTGGTTAACACCAAGATATGATATAAGGTAAATAATGGATTGAGTCCGGGGGGGGGGGGGGGGGGGGGGGGGGGAGGGGGGGGGGGCGGGGGGGGGGTCTTACCAGTCTAACAACTTCTTTGGAAACATAAGATCTGGTGTAAGCGACTTGTTTCTTCCGGTAAAACTTCACATCACCCTCTATTTGGCCGAGGAACACGTTGTTGAAGTAACTCAAATCATCATCCAGATACTGAAACAGAAACATGATTAAGAGAAAAAACAAAAACATGGTTAATAAAGGTCCCCCTCTAGGTCTAAAGTGTGCCATTTAAATCAAAATAAGCTCATGTTTCTAAAGATTGACTCATTTTGTAACTTATTTTATTTGAACGATACCGTACGTGTTGAATGTAGATGTAATTATCTCAGATGACATTTGGTCACTGCTGATTAATCTCACTTATCCCTCTCAATTGGTCAAAAATATGCAAGGCACGGTGACAGCAAAGCATTTTTATCATTCTCTGTACAAAAAAAAGTTTTTTTCTCGGAAATTTCTACACAATGATACCAGTAATTTGTAATAGCTTTACCATCAGTGGCTCCGGTAGTTAAATTTGTTATTTTCATGGACAGAGTAAATTTAAGTGGTTAAGATTTAAGTGGTTTTAATGGGACATCATATCGAGCAGAGGGATATTCTCGATCTTAATTCCCTCGCAAAGTCATGACTGAAGTCAACAAAGCTACTTGGACACTTTAAATAAAGAAGTTATTGTAAAGCAATATATCACATGTTCACCTAAATTACTATAACGTTGGAACTTAAAAGCAACCGTCTCAATTATACTTGTGTACGTGATAAATCACTACAAACTATAATCAGAAGGTCTGACCTTTTCTTCACACAATGACTCAGTCAACATTGTTTTGTTTTGTTCTTATTTTTGTCTCCTTCACCGACTCTTGGAATCCATTGCAGGTGGCTTGGAAAGCTCATCCGATAACGCAGGGTGTGTACGAGGAGATAAAATACAGGAAGCGAGTCATGAAACCCCTCAGATTCAAGACAGTGACCACAGTGCCGCGTACAGTGCAATTAGTGTTCATGTATGATCCCGGATCAATAGGTTACCTCAAGTGGAACGAAAAGACCTGGGATGTAGACCTGGGCAGTTGCACGAAAACCAGTAAAATGTGGAACGTTCCAGATCATCCGGTCAAAGTTTGGGAGGTTACGTGGAAAATGAGGGCTTTGGTCATCAAATGTAACGAGAAAAGGGTATGGAAATACAAGTACGCCAACATACGGGGCAACTTCTACGATGGGTTTTGCGGGCCCAGATATTCAGAAACTGAAGCGCCATTGAAAAGCATCAGGTTCATTCACACGGCTTTGGAGTTCGTTAGCGGTGAGCCACCGGAAAGATTTAACGTGCCAGTAGAGTACTACACAAAACATAGAAAATAAGACACGAATAATGACCAATTGTCGGGGCAGAGAACTGAAACATCTATTGTCAGGAAGGCCCCTTAAGGGCCTAGACACCAAAAAAGTTGTAATAGTTGTGGTGATTGCTCGGCAATTTTATCCGTTATAAATTCAAGGGACATACATGTATATGATATGTTCAAATAGTAAGAATAAGAAAGTTAGCTTATAAACGCCTCTAAATTATCAAAACAAAATGAAAAAGTCATAATTTTATACCAAATTTTTTCTTAATTTGTTTTCTAACTTCGCCCTGAAGTTTACATTCTCATCCTGTATCACTGTCATTAACTTTATAAATTGTTAAACTAGAAGGCCCGATAGTCGATACTCGATACAGGTTCTATAACCATAAGTTTTTACCGGTGTGTATTTAATGTTTGAATTTGTAATTGATATTGCTATGTATAACTTGTTTAGTTTAAAACCGTGTTAATCGTAGAAAAGCGCAGACGTCAAATAATTTTAGGAATTGTGAGATTAAATTCTGTGTTTCAATTTCAAAGGTAGAATAACATCATCACACCTCATTGGACTTGGTCAAACACAAGGAAAGATCATGCTCGGTTCTATGATATTCTCCAATATCAATATCTAGTGGACGAATTTGAGAAATAATCTCTTCAAATTATCTGTCCTTGACTCCTCTTTCTGTCGTTGTAACCATGGAAACGGCCATTGTAATGACGTCTCCTTATCGCCATTAGGTGAACCGTATCAGACAGAGCCGTCCGAAATTCTCTTCCGAAATACGTTAATGCGTATGAACAATGAACATGGTAATAAAAACCATGTCTAAATTATAAAGAAATTGTAAGACAAAGAGCAGTTAGTTATATACGCTAATCTAACTGCGTATAATGCGATTACACTATTAATTGCACGAGGCGCAGCCGAGTGGAAATTGATACAATAATCGCACGAGGCGAAGCCGAGTTCGATTATTGCAGTTATTTTACGAGGCGCAGCCGAGTGCAATAACTGGTGTAATCGTATTATACATGCAGTTAGATTCACGTATAACTCCACGCCTCTGATGTTATAACCAGTGTAATTAGTTTATAATCGCACCGACTTTGTTGTTATACAGGGTGGGCCTCAAAAGTCTACCCATCCTTATCTCTTAAAATTGGAGCAGCTCGCTGAGATCTCACTAATTATTTTATTTCAGAATGAAAAAAGCGCCATAACTTACGTTCTGATTACTATTTTTGATTCAAATTTTTAGAGAATGTCAATCATAATTAGACACAACTTCGTGCTAAGTTTTGTGTGAGTCTGAGCTTGTCTGACAAAGTTAGCTCCTGAGTGTGCTAGCTTTAATTTCTCACCCAGAACTGTTTACATTGGTTAATAGAAACCACAAAAAAAAATCCTGGGTAAAAAAATTAAAAAACCACCGATTTATTTATGTTTTACCAATTCTATTCACCATGATACATCGCACATTCCATGTAAGAAGAACGATATAAACAAGCAGGAAGGATCATCTGTGATAGTCCTTATCAGTTAAAATATAGAGAGAATGGAATGTGCGATGGATCCATGTGAATAGAATTGGTAAAACGTGAATAAATCGCTGGTTTTTTAATTTTGTTACCCAGGATTTTTTTTGGTGGTTTCTATTAACCAATGCAAACAGTTCTGGGTGAGAAATTCAAGCTAGCTCGCTCAGGGGCTAAATTGGTCAAATAAGCTCAGTGAAGCACGCAATCACACAAAACTTGCCACAAAGGTTTAGATACTTGTTATTAACATTCTGTGAAATTTAGAAGCAAAAATATTTATCAGAACATAAGTTATGCCACTTTTTGTTTTACAAATAATTAGTGAGATCTCAGCCTCATACTGTGTTGTGTTAATGCAATGTAAGGATTGACTTATTCCAAACACAAGGAAAGATGTTGTCCTAAACTATGAATTTAAATTTATGCCCACAAATTTAATTCGTGCGACCTTAGCACTAACGGTCGCCAAATCTACCTCAGGCAGTTGATTTAAGTCAATACTTGAATCAGCACCTCACAGTAGTAAAATACTCGGTTTTAATTAGGTCCTCATTTTACGAGGTACTCTCTCTAACTCTAATTATCTGCCTGAGCCATGATTTACAGCATCTTTCAGGGAATCAGTGCAATTAGTTTAGTTATCGTACCTAATAAGATTTCGGTCACTCTCAAAACAGTGCAATTAGTTTTGTAATCGCACCCCCTGGAACAAAAGCCGGTGCAATTATGGAATTAATAAATGGCCGCCAAAGAGGTCAAAAGTGGAGTTATATTTATAATTGATATAGGTGATATAGGTGATAAAGGTGATAAAGGTGATAAAGGTGATAAAAGTGATAAAGGTGATCACGTGTATAGTACCTTCTCGTGGACCTCAGGTCGATCTCCACATGTGGCGTTTGGAGCTGCTGTAGGTTCGAAACACGTGTCATAACAAGCCTTGTACCCCCACACCGACTTCCTCTTGTCAGCACAGAACTTCCATTCAAGCTTGTCAAGTCCTTGAAAGGATAATAAAAAATTATGCGATTTGTTAGAAAATTGTTTTTGAATCTTGTTTCGAAATCGAGTTTTTAGCTGTTTCTGATAGAATTAGAGCAAGTGATATTATCTATCAGTTGGTTTTAGTCTCATATCCTAAATTTGTGTTAACAGTAAACACCACCTGCCCCCTTAAGATTCCAAAGACCATGTTAAGGTGATAGGTGCTCAAAGTCGGCGAGCAATAGAAAATGTTAGAAGTAAAGTTAAAGATTTTTTTAAAAAACTGGAATAATACAAAATATTATAAAATTATAGAGGGACAAAAAAGATAAAACTTAAAATGTGATAGGTAAACCAAACCTTGTGCTATACAATCAGGGCACAATTGTATAGCCGGATTGTTGCAGCACCTAATACCGCAGTCACGTGTTTGCACGTACCAATCCTTCAACCAAAACACCAACTTCTGCAATCTAAAATCCACCTCCAAGCCGTTAAACTTACTGAGATACGACTGTAGGCCAACCTATCGGGAAACATTTACTCGGGATAATTTCAGATTTTAACGCACCTAAATCAACACAAACTTCTGCAAGTTCAAGAGATTGTTCTAAACAGCAGGTTTCCTTCAGATACTCCGCCTTGTTTTGGTAGTCCGTTTTGTTTTGCCGCACAGCCTCACCAAGACTGTTTCCGAACAAGTTCTGGGTTTCTAAGTAATCCGTGATCGGAGTCTGAAACAGCATGAGATGTAACAAACAGCGATAACGAGCATTTTTAAAAACAGCGAATAGAAATTGAAAAACAGCAACATTAGCAACATTATGATAATGTATCAAATCTATTGCACTTAATCGGTCTGAAGAAGCGAAAGACCAAATAAGATCTAAAAGCTTCAGTAAAATTACCGAAAAGTAGTTATCGGTGTCTCCTGTATCAGTCAAGTCTGCCAGGAAGGCCATTCCTCGCATTCCTTTCCCGGGATAGTCGGTGAGCGTGATAAACCTTGACTCTTCTGCGTCAGGAGAGGGTGCAGTGTAGACTACCAGTAACCCTGTGGAATTTGTAAAGTTTTGTAAAGTTTAGAGTTTAGAGGTTAGAGTTTAAAGTTTAGCGGTTAGAGGTGAAAGTTTAGAGGTTAGAGTTTAGAGGTTAGAATTTAGTAAAGTTGTCACGATTTTAGTTGTCACGATTTTAGTTCCGGGGATTGTGATTAACAAAACTTACCAAGGACAGCGAATAATAGTGGCAGGATAAGCTGTGCAATGATCGCTTTCTTGTAGCGCATTGAGTTGATGAAGCGTTTTCTGATCATTGCCTCCAGCTGTTGAACCAGGAGGGTCAAACCAAAGTTAAGCTCTGAAAATATTTCGAGTTTATAAGTAATGAACCAGCGAACAATCGAGGTAATTTTGTGTTAACTTCCATCATAATTCGCACTCGGTAGGTCTATCAAAATTTGGCCGCGAATTTCTACAAATATTAAATTTAAAACAATCCCAATATATGATAATACTGACCCTCCGGTTTAAAGACTTTGAACTGGCGGACATTTCCAGCCAGGTCTTCATCCTGCTTTTCAATCTTGATAGCATCTCCATTTTCAAGTTTTCCATTCTCTAGCAGCAAGTTCTTCTTATCTTCTTCTTCTTCTCCGACCTGAAGCGATAGATTTGAGCGTCAAACTATCTACTAGCCGTCAGCAATAAACTGCTGACGATTTTTTTCAAAGTCCATGTCAAAATACGTTTCATAGGACAAGTAAAAACTAAAAATAAAGTGAGCAAACAGGATCCTTACCTTCATGAAGACTTCCTCCATTGTAGTGAGAGACAAACCAAAACTCTCGATATCAGCCTTATCGTCAAGGTTATCCTCTGTTGATTGAGTGTGGTCAGTTACGAAGTTACAGGTACGTTACACAATACAAAGACACCTTACAAAGACACCTTACACAATACGAAACGCAGGTCACAGTTACTTTTTACTCCTGTTCGTTCAAGCGATCGAGCAAACCGGCACAGCAGGGAAGATCAGAGAGCGATGGTGCTACTCTTGAATACTTCCAAGTCGCGATATAGCGGCAAAGTTATACAAATTGGCAAAGCCCTCTTCTATTTCTCTGACATGGAGCAGGTTTTAGCTTTTTATGAGATTCCAAACCCCTTCGGTCTGTATTACCCGGGGATAGTGCCTATGAAGGTGCCTTGCAACGTGAAACATTTTCAGCTGGCCTGTTTTCAGCGGAAGCATTTTTACCTGAATCGCGCAGGGCAGACATATTTCTTAATGTTGAAAATTCACTCTCAAGTATATTATCAATATTTTTGTATTGAGCTTTTATACAACCTGAACCCGGTGTAGGAACGTTTTTAAGTGACGAGAATTTGTCGTCAAATATGTCGTCAGTCTTGATAGTCAGTCTATTGACAGTCAGTTCTGATCATACGAAAATGCTTTCTTAGCCTTGCCATAGCAAACCATTACATTAACCAAAAATAAAGTTTTGTCTCAATCAGTTGAAATTACAAATTAAGTAATCAGATTTTCAGCCGGGACTGAAAAATAGGAATTTAAAAGTTTTTGAAGTAAAAAAAAGTTGTGTAAAATGTTTACAGGGTATTAAAGTTTAAAACCTACCTTCAAGTTTCTTGAATAGTGGGACAAAGTTGTCGACTTGATTATCCGGTAATATAAATACAAGCTCACTGCCAACATCACTTATCTTCTGGGCTGAAGCAACGTGCTTCCTGAACATTAGTTACTATTCCACTGTACATTAGTTTAGTTCCACTGAACATTAGTTACTATTCCACTGAACATTAGTTACTACTCTACTGTACATTAGTTACTATTCTACTGAACATTAGTTACTATTCCACTGAACATTAGTTACTATTCTACTGAACATTAGTCACTATTCCACTGTACATTAGTTACTATTCCACTGAACATTAGTTACTATTCCACTGTACATTAGTTTAGTTCCACTGAACTCAATATTCAAATACAAATAAGTACAATTCAAAAAGCCACTGAGCAATTCTTTCAAGGCTTCATTCGTGAAAGACATTTAAAATCTAGAACAACACCGAACTTACTTAATGAATTCTTCAACAGCAGGGACATCGCATCCGGGTTTCTTGACCAGAGTCAGATGGTAACCAACACCGTATTTCTTTTTCAAGAACATAGAAGAGCCAGAACAGACGAGTTTACCAGACGCCATGATAGCGACACGATCTCCTAAGAAATCTGCTTCGTCCATGTAATGAGTCGTAAGTAGGATCGTTCTACCCTCCTGATAAAATAGTGATTAAATAGTCAATAACTAGTGATAAAATAGTGATAAAATAGTGATAAAATAGTGATAAAATAGTGATTAGATATTAATTAAATAGTGATTAAATCGTGAGCATCATTGATTTTTTCAAGGAATCAGAGATATCGAAAAAGAAATCTTATCACACTTAGAAGCAGAAATAAAATATGATTCTAACCTTGTTTTCGAGAATTAAATCCCAAGTAGCACGTCTCGCGTAGGGATCCATACCAGCAGTAGGTTCATCCAATATGACCACCTTGGAACCCCCAGCCAACGCGACACCGACACTCAACTTCCTCTTCATACCTCCGGATAACTCATCTGCTTTGGTATCCACCTTGTCCTCCAGCTTTAACATTTCCATCATCCTGTACGCTTCTGTCATGATGTCGCCGTCATAGCCCTGCAGTGAGAGGGGTTTCATAATATGCGCACTTTGTAATGCTAAACAATGGTACGTGACTTACAGTTACCGGTGTTAAAAACAATGATAAGTCACGGGCAACAGTGTTAAAATCTGTATCTAGCCCTGAAGTTGAAGGAGTTTCTTCAAAACAAATGCGCTCTTCGGACGAAAGATAGAGTAACAGTGTTAAAACGAGCGTTTAACTCTAAAAGTCTACAATTTAACTTTAATTGAAAATTGCTGAAATTCTTAATAAAAAGAATAGAGCCAACTTCGATAGAATTAAAACGAGCAATGTTTGTTGGTATTCCGTCTGACTGTAGTACTTTTTTTGTATCCGGTTCGTAATGAAAAGTGAAGAGGCAGTGTAGTGTTTTAACATTTCGTACCTTGTGAATTTTCCTTCAAATGTTTAACTGAGAATCGACTTGATAATGTCATTCTAAAAGTAAGATGGTTTAACATCTACGAAAAGGGCAGCGTATGTTTTTCTATGATGAATTATATAATCTAATGTACTAACAGTTTAAAGTTGACCTGAGTATAGGCGCGCCTTGAGATTTGTAGCTAAACTAATTTATGTCAATGCAACACAAATATTTATAATAATCATTTTGGGTTTCGCTAGTTTGCTCGTCTTTGCTGAATTTTGTTTATCATTCTTTTGGGTGGTCAAACATGCTCATAAAATCACCATGGGACATTGAGATCCCATTTTCCTAAATTTTCTAAAGAACGCAAAATTCTCGCCCCCGGCTCCGCTAGCGTATCTAAGTTTAAACCCCAGCAAAAAGTGTTGGCAACAGTCCTGCTGAAGTCAACAAATAAAGATGCGGAAAGAAAAAGAGCTGACGTACCTTGAGTCTAATGAAGAAGAGAAGATGCTCCTTGACAGTGAGCCGATCAAAGAGGACGTTATGTTGAGGGCACATCCCCAGGCTGCCCCTGACCTTGTCCATACTGGTCAGGATGGAGTGCCCGTTTACCAGGGCGTTTCCGCCGGACGGAGAGAACAGTCCAGTCAACATGGACATTGTCGTCGTTTTTCCTGCATTGTTATTAATTTTTGTCTCATGGGAAGTCTCAGCGAGCGCGATTAAGTCATGGTCATTACCATTAACCAGAACATTCCCGTCATAATTTTACCGATATAGTTAACGTTGACACTTGCCTTGTTTCTCAGCTCTTAAGACTTACCAGCCCCGTTGTGTCCCAGCAGAGAGGTGATCTGACCTTGATACATATCCAAACTCAACCCATCCACCGCTGTCATCTTCCCCTTGGGAGTCTCGAACCTCTTCACCAGTCCCTGGATTGATATGCCAACTGTCTTGTGTCTGGGCCTTTTCTCGTGTTGAGCATCTTCCACGTCGATTACAGTGGGAGGTACTGGTATACCGTCACCGTCAACTGGTGGCATACCGTCACCATCCTGCACAAAGTGAGATAAGCATATTATCATTTAATAGACATGCCTTCAGTTTACTTGCTTACTTGCACAAAATCAAAACGTTCTGTGGAAAAGTGCACAAATGACATCGCTAATCACGCAACCCATGCTACTAATCACGCAACCCATGCTACTAATCACGCATTACATGCTACTAAAGGTTGTCCTATGACGTTCCCCTACAATTGAACTAGCTTCACAATTAAGAATTACTCCAAAAACACGTGTGACACATTCAGCGTACACCTAAACGTTTAACATTACGAAAATCAAACGAAAATACTGGCGCACATCAATTTGACGGGCGGTCAAAAGAGCTTTACCATTTACCAATGATAATTCCTCTTTTGCCAGCACAAATCCCGCCTCAGACCAAACACAAGCGATATTCTGCAACGCATGACCCGATGAATTATTATTGCTATTATTAATATGCAGATCAATCAGATAAGATAATTATGGATCTGATAATCCATTAAGTGCTGCACTAAACAGCTTCATAGTTCTGCTATCAAATGATTGGGTGGACAAGAGAGGCGGATGCCGGGTGGCTATTATCATCTATCGTTACATTATCGCTTGTTTAAAACCAGGATAATCACAGGCCATCCTCTTGATTCTCCCGAACGTTTCTTTCACTAGTTGTCATGGTAATTGTACATTGTTGAGAACTTGCCACTTCATCTGGCAAGATTGACATTATAAGCCAGGCGTGTTTAAATTGTATTTTGAACTTTTAGCAGTTTAGCAGGTTGAGTTTCGATGACTCCAATTTATTTAGACAGCTTTGGAAATAAGTAGGGAGCCGACCAGACTGAGATAAACGCTTCTGTGACAATTTTACGACGTTTGTTCGTTTCGTCATATTTAAAATATCTTAGACTGACGATCTGTAGAAAATGGGCAAGCAGAAGTCTCTTGTAGTTACAGGAGACGGGTACACACATTACAAGAGTGTTTACTCGCATCATGCATGATCATTCCCGATCATTGCCTGATCAGATCGGCTTTTAAATTGTTGCTAACAGTTCGAAATATTTTATCATCCCAGGATAATACATATGTCTGTTTGTCATAACTGGAGCCGATCTTTATTTTGCTTCATTCCTTCGTTTATGTTATGTCTGCGTCGGATGTAAATTATAAAGTCAGAAAATATGTTCTTTCAATGCTAAATCTAATCTTAAATATGGTCGCCAAAGCAGACTAGTTTATGTAAATCTATAAATAGTATCCTATTTATCCATGTACAAGCAGCTCCGTTTGTTGGAAACTAACACGATTATTCACTATAAGGAGGACGGACAGACCACCAATGGAAAGATGGGTGATATCTGGTCTCCTGGTAACGACGCTCTATATCCTCACATTAATGGGAAGAGAGGTCTCCTCAGCTGACCTCTCCAGGAGGAACATACCCCGTAACTCAACGCTAGAGCTTGTTGAAAATGTTAACGCCTCTCTGGACCACACGTTTCAGGGGCTCATAGATATTTCTCAAAACGAGACAATGCAGGAGGTGTACAAGGAGAACGCCAGGCTGGCCCGGGAGGATGCAATAGTCGATAAAGCCCTCATGATCATCGGGATTGGAGCGGGAGTGATTATTACACTGGGTCTGGCATATTACGCTAAGATGGGTTATTGTACTTCTGAGGTGTAGAACTCACAGCAGGGGGTAGGCAGTGCTCTTTCTCCCGCAAATGTGTTGATGTAAATAACAGGTTTCAGTTTCCACTTTGGCATTACCTCGACTGTTGTCACGAACTAGGGGATGATTGATGATGAGACTCGTGGACATCGCGATTGGGTTTGAAACTGTTGTTAACGATCCGTCAGCTTTATCTCAGCATGTGCATGGTTCGGTGTTTTATTTTTTACATTTGACCGAGATCATCTACTTACCGGGATGCTACAACGTTAAAGACGTTCACCTTTCGTTAAATCGTTCTATAAGAATATGTATGATCCCCCTTCGGTAGATTATTTTGGCACGCTGGTTTGAGGAAGGCTTTTTTAGCAAGGCCCTTCAATACAGAGCGATTGACCACAACCCAAACCAAAATAAAACTGCAGATATTCTGCTCATGATAGAAAGATTGTTAGTACAGAGAAAACTAATAACATTGGTTTATATGACATTGGTTTATACCTGTTTATGTGTTGTCTTATTTTAACAAATGTGTTGTCTTATTTTAACAAATATCTTGATTCTTGACATATATCTTCATGGTTGTATAATTTATAAGTTATCATATTTCGAATGGTTATGAAACTAATAACAACATTTAACATGCAATCATGCACCATGGGACACAGCACTACATCAGCGGACAGCATCAATTTGGTTAAAACATACAAATTTGACAATTTTTCGAAGATACAAAATACTCCATAATAATTCAGTGAACATCACTGTTACACTACCACATTCCCCATCATATACACATATCACAGTGTATTATGAGTGTAACAATTGGTCAAGAAACAAGATCCACATACAAGGTTACCTTTCCATCTTCCACGTGATAGGAGTTAGAAATAACAGTTCCGTTCTTGTTGTACTAGAGAACATCCAAAAGTTAGGAGTAACATTAAAATGTTTATAAAATTTAAAATAATGTAGGTACAGCCAATCCCCGATTTAAAATGACTTGTTGAGTAGGATAATTTGACAACGTTTCCCGGCAAAGCGGTCTTTTGTTTTACACTAATGAACCGCGCTAGGAAGGCTAAGAAATTGATATTTGTTCGAGACACGGCAAATCGGGGTTTGGTTGAGTACTCCGTATGGGTTGGAGATAACAAGGCGCTATTTTAACATCACATTATGCTTTAATCATTCTTATCCTGTTTGACAGCTAATTTTAACTTCTTTGGTAGAAAAGCACAATAAAGGCCAGGAAACAGGATGCAAAAATGAAATATAGACTATTAGACAATGTATAATGAACAAATACAATGTAAATTGTACATGGTACATTGTTAGAGTGCACGTGGGCGCTCTACTTATGATACACCTGATATGTCTAACAACCCGGTGCGTGTGAGTATTGACATGAACGCTCTACAAAGTACACTCACAACCTGACTTCCTGAACTGTTAGGGTTCAACACGGCCGCTATATTACGGGAGGCATTACAGCGCACAATCAGCTAACATGTACTAAAGGAGAGGGTTCAACTGCGGGCTGTAAAAAGTAAAGTTTATAGCAGGGCATGCGTTTTTCAGAGAGAAAATATGTGGATAATCGAATGAACAAAAACACTTAAACGTTGATCAAACTAAAAGTAAATTTAATTTTGGATTTTAAGGCTGGTGCTTCTTTAACAATAATTTCGCCGCGGTTAAACCACGCACGATCTATTTTCCCTACGACACGATGTACTTGTATTTTGTACCATTAATTCTTTCGAGTGAAAAGAGTGACTGGAAAAAATAATAAACGAGTGGGATTCGCGCATGGTAAAAATTGACGATTTATTTGACCAATGTAGCGCCGCGCGCATCAACAATAAATGAATCCAGAAAATTGCGGAAAATAACTTTGCGAAGGAGGAACTTCACTGTAATTAATTAACACGTGGCTAGCGTCGCGCGCAGCATAACAGACGCTTCCAATACACACAATTATAGGGGAGTGGTCTATATTGCGAAGGAGCAGACTTTTGTCGACACCGTAGGACCGTCGGGCCACCTCATATATCCAAACCCGATTACTTATTCCCTACGATCTTTTTGCCTTCGGCAAGAGTAGGGAAAAAAATTGTCGCATTTCAAATGAACACTCAAATCCAAACTTGGGCTATAAGTGGTTAGATTCGTAGTCACCACTGACCACACAACTGCTCGATGTCAGGACTGGAAGAATGGACGATAACACACAGAACATGTTGGACACGATATTTACAGAGATAACACTGTTGCTCTCAATGGAGCCAGTGCTTCTCTTACCCCGAAGGAGTGGAACATTGTATTGTACCAGTACCTAGGGTCCCAGGATATCTCGGATATCCCGGATGCCCATGGGGACACTAGGATACTCTTGGATTTTTTGGGGGACACTAGGACACTCTTGGGCTGTATGGAAATATTTACAGTGCAGAGGAAGTGAATTTTTGTTAAAATATTAAAGAGTTCAAATCAAGTGTTTATCTGAGGAACTAAGGTTAATGTCTCTTTCTGCAAGCTTAGAAAATAACTGGGAATGTTTTCAGTTAGAATCTGCCCTGGACTACGAAAAAATTGAGGAAATAGATTGTAATTAAAAATATATACCTTATCCATGTTGATTTCAGATCCCATCCAGTAGGTCTTAGTGAACATGAACCAGGGTTTTTGCTTGATACCAAACTCACCGGGGAACACTGCCTCCACATACCTAGTAATAATTCAATGTTAAACAGCTCCAGAAATTTCATCGGTACAAACGCACCATCTCTATATCATGTTTAGATCGCAGAAAAGTTCATGTCTCGGGCTAAAGCAAGTTTTGAATAACTGTTTTGGAATGATAAATGATGTCATCATTTGAGCGACGCCAGCTGAAGAGTCATTAGTCGCCCACGTACATTCGTACAGTACAAATTTAGTGCAAAACTCAAACAACTAACCAGGTCATGAGAGAGTAGATGATAATGTCTACAAACAACATGATCATTACATCAGCCATGGTGAAGGTATCCAAGTCGCTGGTTTGTGTGGCAACGTTGGAAAACTGTAGACCTTCCTCCATAGTCTCCCACTTGGAGATGATGTTAGCTCCGTATCCCATACAGGTGGACGATAGGAGACAGCTCATATACCGGGCATTACTGTGGTATTATTATAGTTATTTTAATAAATAAAGTTGATATATTAGTCATTATATTAGACTCATCAAACTTAGATTCTTAGCACAATTAACATCCTGAGAGTTCATGGATACTACGCAAATAACAAGTATTATCTCACGAACAAGAGATCGTCCTAGATTTTAAAGGGAGATTTTAAAATATCTAAACCAAGGTGGTTACCAAGGTGGTTACCAAGGTGGTTACCAAGGTGGTTACCAAGGTGGTTACCAAGGTGGTTACCAAGGTGGTTACCAAGGTGGTTACCAAGGTGGTTACCAAGGTGGTTACCAAGGTGGTTACCAAGGTGGTTACCAAGGTGGTTACCAAGGTGGTTACCAAGGTGGTTACCAAGGTGGTTACCAAGGTGGTTACCAAGGTGGTTACCAAGGTGGTTACCAAGGTGGTTACCAAGGTGGTTACCAAGGTGGTTACCAAGGTGGTTACTCACTCAGACATGTTATCAAACTCGTTCCCAAGGAAGAAGTAGGGGACATAGAGAAGAAAGTAGCCGAGCATAGTGCCAGCAATTGCAGTGGTAGTCTTTGAGAACAACGTACTGAAATGAGTAAGGTTATTTATCTAAATTCTAAATCCCTTATTTTTAGGCTGTAGATACTTCCCTCATAATCAAACTGACTCGGGGCCAAAATAACATCCAAAATAGCTATTATTCTTCCTTATTTTTCGGCTGAATATGGGATAGTTGAATATAACGAGTTTCAAAGTGCAAAATGAAGCAAATTTATCATATAATATCCGTTTGAAAGGCAGTAAAATGGAACCATACTTTCCTTTGGATTTTTCGACTATTAAAAAAAGGCGGATAAAAAAGGAGTTCTTTCAACGTTGCTTTTTTATCGAGGTTATTTATGATATTGTACCAAATCCCAATAATTTAAATTTTGGCTGAAGAGCGGCTCCCATCCGACTGTCCGAGTTCCAATACTAGGAAGAACAACGACCGTCGACCATACTTGTGAGCAGTGATGGAAGGTTTGTTGTCCACTAGTCAACGGAAAGTAAAGACTTAACTAAATGGCAGTTTTGAACCAAATTTCTTAGATTTTCATCGGATCTCTCCCCCTCTCCCGCAGTACTTCCCCTTGTCGTATAGCAGAATTAGCTGAGCCAGTCGTTAGTCAAAATCCTTCTGATCGCAATTTGACGATACCAAACTTAATCTAAATACTTATAAATCTAGGCTGTAAAATATCATGTTACCTGAGGAAGAAACAGAAGCACATGACCGTGAGAGCATACTCAAACAAGAATAAGTAGAGAATGACGGGATGGGTGTAGAGGACGTAGTTAGCCAGTTTCATGACTAGAGTCATGAGAAAAACGGTAACCAGCATCAGTACTATTCGCTGGATGATCCAACTCAGCCACAGGATCCAGTTAGCTAGACCCATCATCTTCATCGTCTCTTTCATTCGACTTGCTTTTTCTCCTACCAATTCCTAAAATGGTGGCGTTAACGTCGTGCACACTGATTTACTATTTCCACGAAATAAAGAGTCTCATTAACAGATTAATATGGGTCTAAGACGAGATCTCAAAACCAATAGTATTTTCTCATTTTTTATCTTACCTTGCTAATGGAAGCCCCAATCCAGAGGAAGGAAATAACAATCATGAGAGGAAGACTGTTCCTGATCGCGTTCGCAAAGCTGTCTTCCTGCCACGCCGGGTACGGCATTTGCTGAATAAGGTGTGGATCAGACGACAGATATCGTACAAAAATAACACAGGTTGTTTCGGTTTTCTCAGAAGGAATAAACATAGGAGTTTGCCAGTTTTATACTTAAAATTCCCAAATGGTCTTTTGTTATGTACAACATGTGGATCACATTTCTACTAACATAACATAATAATACACCACCACTAGGCTCGTCCAATAGTAAGAATTAACATAACTTCAACTTTTAATCTTGCTGGGTATGGTTTTCCAGTTTCATCGTGCCCTTACCCGCAGTGCTACAACCGGCAGCTTCTCCAAACCCTCTCCCTCCAAGATGCATCTATCAATCACTTGTTGCAGAGCTATCCACCCTTGATCGTAGCCCCTGATTGTGACTTGTCAGTTCCGTGGATATTACAAACTGTACATTTGATAAGTTACGTACGAATTTGAATGTGACAGGATTTTTATAATTTGACAATAACACTAATACCGAGGAGTAGACATTTCCCATGGTTATGGAATTTGACGAAATGACATAAACTGATTAACCACAAATCTAGCGATGTTCGGGAGATTAGTAACTCAGGGATATTAGTGCCAGTCCAAAACTCTGACTGATCAAAATTTATTCAGAAATCGTAATGAGAACAAACCAGCCATTACAGTATAATTACAATCGTTTCACATCGATTACTCAGCTCAATTGTACACATATCAATTTGGACAAATATAGTTTAGCTGCTGAATTACCAGACAGCTGTTATCATTGATCACATGATAAAATCAGTTGACCTTAAACGGCCGTTGTTCATTGTAATTCCTTATTATGTATTGATAATTACTGTTTGTTGAGCATCAACCCAACTCATTACACATATCGGTGTTATACAGAGTTGATTATCTGACATCTGATTCTTTGACCTGTATAGGACATGCAACCATCACCTACACTTTACATACTTAAAAGTAATGGGGCCTGGTGTAAAATATGAGGGATATTTTCTTTCCATCTGCCAAAAGTAACCGCCAGATGTTCGCAGAGTGTAATTATACACAGGGTCTCCAGCCGCTGATTCCCACTCCAGTGCTAGATAATAAAACTTTTATCAACTGGGCTTTAAAAACAACAAAATTACATCATGTACTAAAGTTAGAACTTACCTGAAAAGTGATGGACCCGGTCTAAAATAATAGGGGTAATCTCTGTCTGTGTACCAGCGGCCACGACGGGCCACATTCGTCTGCATTCCCAGTGTGTAGTTAGCATGATGAACGTCAATTTCAATCTCGATTGCTGTTAGTGTAACGAATTTAAAAGATTGTTCAGGATATCTATTTATAGTAACATGTCAAATCTACTGTCGTGGCAGGAAACTCCTTATTATCAATCCGACGTTCATACACCAATATTTGCAACCACTCTGGAGTTCAATTACTCAAAATAAGTCATTAATTAAGGCCGAATTAATTAAGGCCGAATTTTAAACACTGGAGATTATGCCTAGCCGTTGGAGTCAATTCTTAGATAGGAGTAAGTTTGCCGTTTGGTAGCAAAAAGGTCGATAAATTCCGTAATATGATAATGCAGTAATTACTTGACGTTTCCATTAAACCATCTGAATCCATCTTCGATCTTCAAAAGGCGAGATAATCCCCACATAAGAAATTGTTTAAGAAAAGTTTTCATAAACTAGAAAAAAATTACGGAGAAGTTTACAAATTTCAGGAATGCTTTCTGAGATTAGTTCCGACGATATTTTGTAAAAAACAGCATTGTGATCGGCCCTTTAATCGACGCTTGTGTCCTGTGACTAGTTGAGATCTTGTACGTGGGGCGTATGGCTGTAACCTGGTTGGCTGGCTACTCGATCTATAAAACACCTGCGCGCACTTAACGCGCATCAAAGTAGTGCCTACAAGAAACAATAGATACGTTCGGTGTTAACGCTATAAAAACCGAGCATGATCCTTCGGGGTTCCCTGAGTATCGAAAATTTGACTCAATTATACAATAAGCTATCATGTATATAAACAATGGCCCTTTGACAAACTTGTAAGGGAAAGGGTCTTCCTCATGACCCAAAAAATACTTACTGAACCTATGAATACATACAGGTTCAATTTTGTTCCATTTTCGATTCATGCTCTACTAGTCATATCAACAATTTAGGTAGAAATAAAATTGAAATCATTTAGCTTCCTAGACTCTTCAACATACCTGCTGAAAACATGGCTGAATTCTGGACGAGACTTTCTTCAAGAACTTTTTTATCCATGATCGCCAAGAGCTTCAAATTGTCTGTTTCTATTCCGAGCTCCGTTCTTATCTTTAAAATTGCCTTTGCCAACTCTCTGGCAACAAATCAATTAGTTTAATATTATCTGGATAACGTTTGACATTATGTCCATGATAAATTGACCGTCCGCATTTGCTCTGTCATATTGTTATTTTTTTGTCCAACTTACTTAGGGTAGGGTACTCATCATTGTTGTGAAATTCTAAAACGAATATTTGTATTTTGTCATCGTACATTTTTTCAGGTTAATATTCGAGAGGTCAAGATTTTACATACGCCGGGTTAGTTGTGTCCAGTTCTTTAACAATATCTTTGATTTCATCTTCTGTAAATTGCTCAACCACAAAGTCTTGAAGATAGTCCTTACTATCTCTCATACAGTTCGCTATAGCTAGAGCTGAAAGTAACAAAAATCAGAATATGTTTTACAAAAAGTTTAATATGTACTAAATTTGAATTCTTAAGTCATAATTAAACCGTTAAACTAGAATGAAAGTTATGGGTCTAAACTCAAAATCGGATGACCTAAAAATTAAAATTATACTCTATTTAAATGTAATATATTAGGATGCATTGAACCTATCGGACTACGATGACTACGATGAATGGGGACTTGCCACTCCATGGTAACATAATAATAATATACAATGTATATTCGTAGCTTATGTTTATTCAATAAAAGTGGGTCCTTACTTTGTGGGTTATCAGGAGAAATTCCAATCACAGATAGCCTAGGATATTTGTTATCAAACTTCACAGGAGACAAGGGATCAAAGTACGCTGAAAGAGAAGTCGTATTAGTCTTTAAATAGAGCGGTGAACTATATGAGATTTATTGGAATATTTAAAAATAATGAAACACAGGTTTGTTGGGGGACCACGAGCCCCCTCCAGCCAGTTTCAAGCTTGTCGCCCTGAACACATACAGTGAGCTGTGTAATAAATCAATATGATATATATTTAAGATTTATAGATTCCTGACAACCAAATAAGGTTTGAGTAGCTGATCTGATATTTTCAGCATTACAGGGGTTGGAGAATGAAAATAGTTGTACCAAAGTATATTAGCATTGATTAGGGAATACTCACAGAAGCAGTGATCTACAACAGGTGACGAGAGTCTGAAATAGAAATGGTACTCAACTTTCTTGCAATCACACTTTCACTTTTAGGGCATGTATAATGTATATTGTATAGAATATAAACTTTTACATCATTTAGAATTTTTGAACAAATTTCATTCTTGATATGTAAATAATACTTGAAGTAACTCCACGGTGTCGAATGTCAGCAACGTGCAGTAACAGCAGGTCATAATGAGGATATAAAGACTCTTCTTACCTGACGAGAGCAATAAGGCCCAGAAACACACATGGTAGAAGAAGTTCAACTAGAGCTCCTACTGGTCTTCTAAACTGAAACAAGAGGCATGTTTTAGAATATTACAGCCATGTTATACAACATTGCAAGCATGTTTTATTATATTACAGGCATGTTGTACAACATTGCAGGCAGTTTTATAGCATTACAGGCATGTTGTACAACAATGCAGGCGTGTTTTATAATATTAAAGGCATGTTTTATAACATTGCAGGCATGTTTTAAAACATTGCAGCCATGTTTTAGAACATTGCAGGCATGATTTATAATATTACAGGCATGTTTTAGAACATTGCAGACATGTTTTATAATATTACAGCACCATCTGACTAGTGACTAATGACTATCCATTAAGTCAGACAACCTGGGTAGTGGGGATTACATCTGAATGGTGTCATAAAAATAGATCATCAAATGGATGAACACCTGTTCTAGTAAATTGTGTGGCTGTATGAAAAGGAGCTAAATATATAGTAAATAGGGGAAAAAAGAAAACAGAAGGAATAACAGGTGGCCCAAAATTGCAGAGTAGAGTTACTTTTAGTTACTTAGCAATTATTACAAGATTGGCCTAACTCAGTTGGTAAATACTAAATATGCAACTTTAATGATACTGCTTTACTGCATTAATTCAGATGTAAATCTGCTTCTATTTCTCAGAACATTTCACTGTTGCAACCTATTTGGGTCCGGCTGTCATACTCATATCTATAAAATGTTATTAATTATTATACCATTAATTATACATCTCATGAATGAATCGACCCTAGTAACTTTGCGAGAACTGGTTTCTAATTATAATTGCATCTCAGGTGTCCCAAACCACAACTACGTACGAGTTACGAAATAACAGCATTAGCAGCTATACTAACAGCTATACTAACAGCATTAGCAGCTATAAGCATAGCAGAATACAGTGAGTATATTTATGTTTCTTAAACAGTGCAGCTTGCACATTGTACCAACATTTCATACTTTACAGACAATATACCCAATTAAGGGTGTGTTCGTGGTGCAAAACTTTTAATTGTCATGTTTACATATTTTATATCAGACACAAATTCTGTGATATTAGCCTGGTAGCGTAAAGATGTAATTAAATGAAGTGCAAGATCGCTGACCCAAACTTTAATGAGGTTGCCACACTTCATATTACGAACACAGACCTTGGCCCAGTATTACCTATATTAGGAGTTACAATTATATTGAAACTGATACCGGTGAGAAACACATGAATACTTAGTACTTGCCTGACGTATCAAGCTATTTCTAGGCCACCTTGTAAATAATATGCTTTTAGTAGCGGAATCCTCACGTCACAAACCAAAACGTATTTCAAAAAGATCTGCTTGACCATGAAGATGGTGCTTGACCATCAAAATGCTTAATGTAAAATATAAGCACTGCTCATGCATTAATGGTGTTTAAATTTACCGTTTAACTAATTTTAATAGAACAATCTTGCCCAAAATATGGTCACTTTTTAGACGTTACGTACCTAGACATGATGTAACTAGTTTTAAAATAAAACGAACATTTTGATTCTTGGTTATGATAAAAGAGAATGGCAGTACAGAGCAAACCACATGTTTATATAAAGCAGCAATATAGCTGAAGTGCAGTGTATAACACAGTGTATAGTGCAATGTGTACAATGTAAAGTGTACAGTGTAAAGTATACAGTGTTTCTAGAAACTGAATATTAAGAAGCATTATATACAAATTTAATAATAAATTGAGCTGGAATGGCGAAGCTGCATTGGTTAATAACTAATAGCGATCCTAACCAGTAACACTAATAACAAGGTAGTTTTAGTTTGAATAGTGCATAATATTGCACTATTTAATATAACTTGAGATAACCCATGTTACGTTAAACAGATCTATTACATGATTATCACTAAAAATCTTGCCTAAAAAACCACAAATTTATCACGACAGGGTCATTAATTAATTTTCCTTTACGTAATACTAATAACTCTTTTTTAAATCAGAAAAGTAGCCTCCATTCTAAAAACTAATACATATCAATATGCATTCATAATTCATTTTTTCATTGCATGCACAGCAGCTGATAACTAACGTTGGATAATTTGAGGATGTAAATGTTGGATTGTGAACTAAATAACTTGACATGCTAATATGATATTACACGTGCTCAGAATCTCATTAGCGTACGTGTGCAGTGAGTGAGCAGTGAGTGATGCAAGCTTTTATCTTAACTTTTATCAAGCTTTTATCTTAGTTTAAGATTGCATTTCAAGTATAGCTTCATAGCTTGTCAAGATCTAATAACTTATTAGTAATGATAGTAATATTATATATGTGTAAAAGTAGGCAAGCAGCCATTAAACGGGGGATTGGTGTTTAAATTAAGATTAGATAATAATCTGAAATTATTGTTGTTGTATTATTTGCGAAACTAAAAAGGTTGAATTTGGGGTTCAAAATGTAATATTGACCGGATAGCTAGGAACGACATTTTCTAATAGTACCTAGTTAAAGTTAGGAATAAAAATCATTTTGCATCATCGCATACTATACCTGTAAAGTAAAATTCTTCTTCGTCAGGAGAGATATCTGGAAGAGTTTGTGTCTCATGGGGAGGGTCTTTTTCCACCACTCCTGAAGAAATCGGAGATCTAAGTTGAAAAATTCTTCCATGTTCTCGGCGTCTTTTCAACTTAGATTAATTCGAAAAAAACCTCAGCAAAATACAAGAGTTATGGCAGAGCAAATGTCATTGTGCTGTTTACTGAACCCATATAATACTCGGGCAACAACCGATAGATTTGTACGTATATGGAGTAGCTTATAGCAACCACACCAAATCAATTGTGGTTTTTATGCTATCTGACGAGGTTAACAATGGAGAGCAGTTGTAAAGGTACGAGACAACTCAGTCCCTCCGCCGATTAACCAGCGGAAAGTTCTTACAAATCTGGATCACCTCGATACATTAACCATTGTCTAATGGTTCCAAAACTTAGGTTTCTTTCAGATGGTTCTTAAAGATTAAGGCGGAATCTCACAAGGTTTCTTAAATGAATTAAGATAAACATCGCTGATTTTCGATTGAATAACTCCGCTGTTATCAAATGGTATAATAGCCTTGTCAGAGAGCTCTAGATCACGTGACCCAGTCACGTGATGAGAGGAGGCATCACACAGCCTTGTAGCACTTCATCGTGCGAGACCGCCATTGTTGATTGGTGCGGTCCATTTTGCTGTTACGTTCCGGTTTCGACAGTTGTTTAAATAAACGTCTAAAACTCTAAGAAAATGTAAAAATAGTTTACATCTGAACATGTTACTTACCTAAATATCGAGAATCTTCCTTTATGCAGGAGTACTGGTCATGTAAGCTACCTTAACGGAGAAAAGAAGATATTACATCGTTAGGGTACAATTCTTTGGCAAGGTAAGACAAGATATCACAAGTCTGATTGTTTAAATTTTAACTAATAGTTTATTAGTTCGTAATTTATGTAACATATTACGGGTAAACATATTTGGTCCTAGATCTGGCAACGCAAGTCTGGTAAAAATTAAACCTGATTAAATTAATTTGAATAAAAACTGAGCAAACGTATTCTAAACATTGTATGAATGAAATATTTGGTCCTGTGCATAGCACACATATCATGGAATGTGGCTTAATCAAATTGAAAACCTAGCTCCAGAACCTATGACCTAGCTGGAACCTAATGAATTAGAGAGCTGGAACCAGTGACGTGTGAAAGCAGGCATGAAACTCAAGTGTTAGGTTACTTGAATGTGGGGTGAATTTACTGAGTCCTGTGATGATATCACAGCTTATCTCGGACGAAACTTTCGATTTCTTCTGGAACGTGACAACTAGTTGGATAAGCAGTAAATAAGTCAAAGTAAACGTGCCAGAAAAAAAATTGTCTTTCCGGTACCTATGGAAACAAATTAAATATTCAGTGAGCATTTTATGCATCAGATATCGTTTTCACTCCGGAGGGAAATAACAAATTTTCTATTATGGTAACTGACTCTAGAGACAAGGTGATCAAACTAATAACTAATGAGGTAAGTTAACTTAATTTAACTTAAGTGAATCAGGTTGACTTCTATCATGATGTGAATGCAATAAGAAAAAAAGTAAGTATCAAAATAAATTAACTGTCACAGCTTCATTTAAGATATTAAATTGACATTAAACTACGTCGAAATCAATGCTTCAGACGTTGTAAAACGTTCAAATATTAATGATGTATATATTCAGTCATCCCCATAGAAACGGTTGTAAATGGATGGAAAGTCATAAAAAAGCATAATTTAACATTCAATTAACAAAATATATTTAAGAGAAAAATTCAGATTTTGAGATTGCCAGTCCATCAATGGTTTGATATTTGCTTGAAATTGGTGAATCTGAATTTGTCTCATTGCCAACATTTCTGAATAAAGTTGAGGGTCATTCAATGTAATAATTAGGGTCACTCATTATTAATAAAATTGAAATAATTTACAGTTTGCTAATAAAAGATTAAAAAGATATAAAATAAAAATCTACACCAATTTCTGCTCTAAAACCCGGGCTTATTGTGTACCTAACAATCAAGCTAACAAAACAACTTAATAATGAAACTAAGAAACTAGAGCCCGACTCTTAGATACAAAAAGTGAAGAATGTTTTATAGTTCCTCCTCACAAGACTCAACAGGTACCACTAAACCGCAAGAGCATTTCTGCACCATCTCTCCGGTAACCTTGTCCTTTCTGCGGGATCTCACTGGAAACTTGTGCTCGTGACCTTTGCGTACTTTAGTACTGGTGGCATCTCTCATACCCTCATACTTGTCTGATATCTTCTCCTTTATCAGCAGAGATCTGATCAGTAACTTCCAGTTGTCGTAAATCCTCTTAGATCGCTTGTCCTGAGGATATCTTTCATTAGAAAAGGGGGCAATTTATACAAACTTCATAACACCAATTATTAAGCTTTAAAGTTTCAAAATCAGGACATATCTATTCAAACCACGAGCTCTACACATTTGTCGCTGCCTGCTATACTCTAGTTCAAGACAATAGTTAAAAATCAAAATAGATTATCAGTGACAATTTACCTCTGCTTTCTGTGATTGAATAGCACTATATTCCACCCACGCATTCCTAAGAGTCTCGGCATATTCCTCACACACAACTACACCACTCATAACGGGAACAGCTCTGCATCGGGGGAATTCAAATCCAGTACAAGCATGGGCAGCATCTATTTTAAGTCGTCGTGCCAATGCGTACGACCCAGGTAGATCAACGTGTACTGATTTTTTTGGCAACATCCACGGTTTGAACAGTTCCACATTTCCAAATTCATTACGAGGAACCACCCCATTTTCTGCTGTTGGAGCTTTGTACCACTCTGTTTGCCAGTCACCGTAGAGTGGTAAGTCTTTCCATCTGTCATCTCCTGGCCACCGATCATATAATATCTTATTTTTTACCATCTTGTAAGGAACTTCACCTTCTTTTAAAGCTCTTCCTTCCTTTTTGATGACTATGATCTGCTTCAGGGACTTCACGTTATCTCGGCTGAACACATTGTGGCCCTTGAAAGTCCCGAGAACTGGAGCATCTTTCGGGTAAATTGCTTCAATCTTCAAATTATCCTTTTCAAGAGCAAACACAATGTTATGTTTGAATCCTCCTAAACTTTTAGGGAACCCCCTAGCAATCATGATTTCCTTCATCAGCCTGCTCTGTTCTCGTAATGTTACCCAGTGAGTTGGTTGATCTGCAACAAAACTGTCCCAAAATTCGTAGTTGAGCATTCTTGCTTTGCGGTGTATTTCAGACCATTTCTCAACATATTTAGGGGTTGAATCTAAAATGATCAGACTGGGTGTTATTGAAACAACGTATCCCTGAGGATTTACATATTTGCTTTCAACAAAGGCATCCTCAGTAACAAGGCCATTTACTACATCAATGGCGAGGATTTTATCTCCATCTTTGGCTTCAACCCAATACGATGGGTTTGGGTAAGCTTTGCTCGATAATTTCGTAGACTTGGCGACTTTTTCTAAGGAGGGCACATAAATTGAACCAACAAAACGAGTTTCAATTCCAAGCACTTGCAGTAAGGCACAAAACCCAGCAGCATACACATGCTCATGTGTGGTTTCTAAGGATGTGATAAATTTCATGAATGAATGTGAGGAGGTGTCTTTAAGATTCTTTGTATCTTCATTCTGCTGCAAACGAAAGTGGTTACGGTACCAATCCAACAATGCTGTCAGGAATTGTTCTAATTTTTTCTTTGCATCATGGTGCTTTTCAGGGACAAGGGAAAGAAGTAAGCCCTGAAACAAAGGTTTTCTAGTGTATTGAGTGATATTTTGGAGGAATGCTACACCAAGAACAAGAGAACATTGTTCTAAACATGAATCTCTATCCTTTAGACATCTGTTAGTAAATCTTCTAATTTCTTTTTCAGCATCAGACAGTTGCTCTGTCTTCACCTTCTTGGGTATTGCCTCTTCTTCACTTTTAACAGTGTTCTTTTTTCTCTTTCTCGATTTTGCTTCTGGTTGTGCTTCAGAATTTTTTATCTTCTTTTTAGGGCTAGCCTCAAAATCAGGGTCAGAGTTTTCTGTTATTTTCCGCTTTCTCTGTCTAGTCTTCAAAGATTTCTTTTCTGGGGAGAGCTTGGCAGCGGTTTTAACTTGCTCCCAATCACCCTCAGAATCAGAGTCGTTCTTATCTTTGGCAGTAGAGGATTCACAGGCCATCAGCATATCCATGACATTGCCCACCTCTGAGTTCTTTGGTGGAGTTGTATTTTGCTGGACAGCCTGATCTCTGTACTCATCAGTTGCTATGACCTTTTCCTCTACCGACTCTTTATTTGTAAAAACATCCATCATGTCATCTTCAGATTCGGAAGCAGATGCCTCTTCCTTTACACAGACTAACTGCGAAGGTTTGATAGGAGGTTTTACTTCATGAGATGTCCCCTCTTCTATCTTGATTTTAGATTCTGTGGCTTCTTCAAAATCTGAGTCACTTTCTGACTGTACTGGTTTACTTTTAGGAGCCTTTATTTTAGGAGCCTTACCTTTCCTCTGAGGTAATGCTCTTGATTTTTTTGAAGGTGTTTTATGTTGCTTTGATTTAAGTGTTTCGCTTTCCGAGTCTTCAGCGCTAGAGTCTTCAGCGCTAGATTCCTCCTTCATGCTAACTTGCTTCTGTGGCCTCTTTCGGAGGACTCGTTTATTTGACATCATAGATTGCAATTGTTGAGGATCGTTTTCTTTGTTGATATCTTTGGGTTCAGCAGTTATTTTACTGGGCTGTGGTCTTTTCAAAGGCCGTTTTCTTGCCATTATCTTCTCTCTTTCAATTCCTCGTCTAGCATCTTAACCTTAAATATAATTGGAGTTGGTTACGCTGTCGTTGATCCCAACTATAAATTAAGACCATACAGTTGCACGCTAATTCAGTTGCAGCAAAAAATACAGGGACATATTTCTTCGAATCTAGTTAGTCTGAAAGTAAGACAAAATTACTCAGATTTAATCAATGTTTTATTATCGTAATTTACGTATCGAACAGATAATATCACAAATCATCAGTTTACAGCAAACCTTCCAAAAATAACACAAAACGATAAAAAGCTGTGCAAAAGCACGTAATACCTACATATTTACAATTGAAAGGAAAATTAGAATGTAGGTGAGCCACATGCAAAAGTGCTTTAACTTCTATAAAGCTTTCTATAAATTTTCTATAAATTTTTGCTATGAATATAAAATGCAAATTAAGAACTGTTAAAAATATACAACGTACATTTAAATACACTGTGGTCAAATATTTTAAAGAATCTTCTTCTAGAAAACATACAATCTTGATTTTAAGCTCTCTCTTTTTTCACAGTTCATGCTTTGGAGCGTATGAGAAAGTGTGTGAACGATTAAAAATTCAAAAAAGAAGGTTTAAAACAGAGTGCCGGCAACAAGCCAGCTACTGAATAACATTTATCATTTATGCAGCACCTTTTGCAGCACCTTGGTATTTATACTATGCACACTTGTTCTGCTCGGGGCCTTTCTCATACTGTTAGAAGAACTTCCACCCAACTGAAAGTGCTGCAGCATCTGGTCAATGCAATCGTCTATTTCGATCTTACTTATGTTATTGAGTCTCCAGTCTGGTGTTATAGATGGTATTGAGGAGTTGCTGTCGGATGATTGCTGAAATTTTATCATTTACAGTTTAATTGATCTGAGATGAACCTAATAAAGAGAAAATCACATAATGAGCCAAAACAGAAAATTCATGACATAACGTTTACCTTTAATGAGCTGTAGTTAGCTGCACAATTAGATCTGTTTTCTACAATGAATATCATCGGTTTCTTCCCTTGCAATTGCTCAGTGTTTATTTCATTTCTCAAGAATTCTACCTTGTCCAGTGATTCTTCATTTTTGGCATCGTATATTAGCATCACCACATCTGCAATCTTTTCATTACTTAATAGTTTATCATATTGGTAGGTAATGCTACTGTAAGGAAGCAAAAAATGTGATCATTTTTAACATGTCAAAACAGCTTATAATTAACAACCTGCTATTATAATAGTAGCACCCTTTTAAATGAAATACAGGACAAGGTATATCAATAATAATAGGGGGGAGATCATGGATTTACACTTACATTATAATAGCGGAATCTAGTTCTACGGTCATCAGGGTCATTCGAAATGATGGCACCAGAAGTGTCCCAAAAGTGCAGGTAGATTGTTCCTTTTCCTTTGTTCCTTGATTGTTCCTTTTCCTTTTCCTGAGAGGCATGTATTTATAAATAATTTAAGTTGCTCAAAATGTCTATTTCAAGAGAAATTCAAACCAACTACATATTTAAAGAATAGTTTATCCTCTTGTTAGGAATTGTTACAAACCTCTAATAATTTAATGTATACATCTTCGGAGGTTGGTCGGTAATCTGCAGGCGGTCTGCCATAAACATACATCATAGCTATTGCAGACTTTCCGACCTGTTTGTCTCCCATCATTACAATTTTGTAAAACGGCATGGCTTCACCAAGTTATTGTTGTGACTACCCCAAGTTTTACATAACCTGTAAAATATAATGATATTTACAAATTTGTACTCAATAGGCACGTGAAAGTAATCAAAAAACTTCCAGAAATGGTGGGGTAGGAGAACCATGGAACTCGTTTTATGTTTTTTTGAAAAGTTGTATAAGAGAAACTGCCTTTAGGGCTCAATATAAAATAGAAATGCTTAATTTGGTTGGAATTTGAGCTAGAAAATATGGCTTATAGCAAAAACACTAGACAGTGGTCCAGGTAGGAGATTTTCATGAAGTTTATACCAACAACCATCAATAAAATAAGCCAATTGCTGTAATAGACGTGCATACCAATGGATGAAATGATATTGCAATATCATTTGTATACTGTGGTTGAATGACAACTTACTAAACTAGAAAAATGAACGTTGGGGAAGAAACTTGATTTTTTGGCAGGGCCCCTCCTCATTAAATCTTTAATCACGTTTCTGATCATTCAGCTGATTTGACCAAGGAGACATGCCACAGATGTGTAATTTCGCATAGACCCAATGGATCCTTAGCTACTCCGTAGGCTAGGTGACATTGGGATTCATGATCATATCCTGGAACTTCCACTCAAAAAGCGGAATCTCCAACTACTTCGACTAGCTGTGTCCTGCAGTATGTGTCTTACAGACTGGTATACTTCCTCTGAGACAAGGATACAAAGATACAAAATTATAATTACTTTCATTAAGGAAAACAAAATGTAAATTTGAATGGAAATTTAGGCTCTTATAGTAAGCTGCATTTTTCGTTCACAGAGAGAGAATTCCATGATATGGTGTACAGGAATAGCAGCAAATTTGGGGAAACTGGGTGGACATTGACTTTTTTCGCACAATTTGAGTATGTTAAAAATGCTAAGTACCAAACAAAATGCTAAGTACCAAACAACAAGTGGGAGGTGGATCGTTGGTATACCATTAAATCGATTTAACATCGCAATTCCAGTCGCAAGCCTGGGACCACTACTAGCATAGTCACAACATCTACAAAGCTGCCATATAGCCTGACTGACAATTTTCTCGACTGATTGACAATGTTTCTTCTTTTCCCCATTTAGAATACAAAGATTAGTACATTTTAGCTTATGATTAATATTATATTTTTTCCTATAGTTTACCTAGATTGACTTCAACATGATGTTGCAGCTCATTGTGATTAATCTCAATGTTGGAGTGATGTTTTTCTGGTGCACAAAACACTGCAGTACGGTTCGGTTATGTTGAATAATTGTGGTTAATGGATCCTCTATGTGGGTACTTTGGTGGTTAAAATACCAGTTTTAGGGTTACCATTTTGAGATATGATATTATGAACTGAGTAGTCATTATATTGAGATCATCTCATTAAAACTATTACAAAAGTTTTAAAACCTCATTGGGGGCATTCTGTGGTCCTAATGGTGGTTCAATTGAAGATGAACGGTGAGCAATAAATGTTGCTCTGATTATAGATGTATAGTGGTGGTTATTCATTTGTGCATGGGTGATAAATTTTCATCACAAATGTGCAATTTAATAGTATGGTTGATTGAGGTGGTTAATATTTGTAAAAAGTACTAAAAAGGTGGTTAAAATGTCAAAATTTGTTGTTAACCACCAATCAAAACATTAGTAATGATTTTAGTCAACATTTTATGGTCAACTAAGGACATTTCAAGGGTCTTGATAAAAGTTATCGAGAAATGTTGTCATAAAAGTGGTTAAAAGGCTACATTACTTGCTAGGCTGTTGAACGAGGCATCTATTAAAGTGAAAATTAACCACAATATGAACTTCAGATAATGGTTTGCTTTCCAATTGAGTGTATATTTGTTTGCAAATGCATAATTCAATGAAACAAGAAATTTCAATGAAACAAGAAATTTAATTTTAGCACATTTTACAGAATAAAAAGATGTAAAACAATTCATAAAATATAATGCCCATTTGGTGTATGACTTTTTGTCCTTGACTGCTAGTTTGGTTTTGGAAGGACAGGTAACTAACGGGGCAAGGAATGCGCGTGCCTGAAAGCTTTTGCACACACCGAAACGCTAGTTCAGTTAGGTTTTTAGAGACAGGGCTCATTTTAGGACTAGAAGAAATTTGTTAGTAGACATTAGGGGTTCTGTTTATAGTTGTTACTATAGGTTGCAGTCTTGTTGTGACAAAAAGTCTACACTAAAAAATGCTTTAGTTTATATTGTGTGGTTCAAGGATATAAAATGTGGCTTCAAGGTGGATATTAAAGAGCTTGCGAAAGATTATGGCCTTTGTATCAATGGTTATAATAAGCTATAAATATCTTAAACTATACAGTGCTAATTAAAAATTTCTTTATACTTCATTCTCAGATTAGATTTAAAAATTCAAAAAATATACATTTATTTTATTAATACCTTCTCACACATTCTTTACTCACAGGACAAGACTTGGAAAACAGTAGCCTAGAGGAATTTAATTGAGATGTGTGTGAACAGCCAGTTATAATGTTTGGAAAATAATATTTGTGCAGTCAAAATCTTTTACGGTCCAATCAAGCAGGGCGTGGTTATGCTGATTGGCTAATAGCGCACTTTTAAGTTTTCCTCGCAAGCACATTACACTAGTAGTAAAGTCAGTCATTCTGAACTTTGGGGTTAAAATGTTAAAAATTTTGGTTGACCTAGTGTTGTGGTTGTCAGGTGGGTCTACCTGACAGATAAGAAGGCAGGGTTTCCTCGACGAACATGTGTAACCCTCATATAGGGATATTGGAGCACGGAATTTCATTATCTTGTAGAGCTCGAGGTAACTGTGGTATGTATAGAGATTTTGTATAGCTAGAATATTATTATGCTTGAATATCGGTTTGGTGTGTTCTTTTATGAAAAATTTTTGGTCAAGTTTCTGGTGTCCTATAGGCCTAGTACGTGCACAAGTCTTAAACTTATCAAGGTACGCCAGCCTATCACCAAATAGTACTCTGAGACAGTACTTCTGAGCAGTAAATATTGAGCTTATACGTTGCTTAGCTGCCCCACCCCATACAGATATACAGTAGGAAAGATGTGATTCGAACAGAGTATAATATAATTGTTGATGTAGAAATTCTGGAAGGGAGCAGCGAAGTCTACATAAAGTGGATGTGGAATGATTTAGGGTTCGCTTAAGAGCTTTAATGTGATCTTCCCATGATAGGTTCTCGTCAATTATAACACCCAGAAACTTTGCGGATGAAACCTTTTTGATTGGATAGTTGTCTATAGTTAGTACAGGTTCAGGGTGTGATAAAATCTCTGACTTAGAACCTGCCATGTTGGGTTTGAAGTGTATGTAGCAGCACTTGGACATGTTTATATGTAACTTATTCGCTCTCATATAAGACTGTAATGATGACAAAAGCTCATTTCCTCGTTCATATGCCTCACGTTTTGTTTTGCCGACAACAAATATATTAGTATCATCAGCAAAGGTAACAAATGATCCTAGTTTAGAACTGTTTGTGATGTCGTTCATATAAAGAAGAAATAGGAGAGGTCCAAGAATTGAACCCTGTGGGACACCAAATTGAATAGATAGGGTATCTGATTTTTCTCCTACAACTTCAGTGTATTGTTGCCTGTTTGTTAAGTAGCTTTTTATGAGGTTATTTGCAACTCCTCTCACTCCACATCCCTCTAATTTTATAAGAAGTGTTGAATGATCGATGGTGTCAAAAGCTTTGCTAAGGTCAATGAATATTCCTAAAACATGATTCTTAAGTTTAAGAGATTTCGTAATTAAATCTACAGAGTAATTGACTGCATGCGATGTAGAGTGAGATTTCCTAAATCCAAACTGTGTCTTCGATATAACTCCCTGGGAGCTAACAAATCCGTATATTCTAGAATATATGAGCTTTTCAAAGATCTTACCGAAGACGGACAGTGTGGAGATAGGACGGTAGTTCTCGATTTCTTCTGGGTTACCTTTCTTATATACAGGTGTTATTTTACCAGTTTTCAGGACATCAGGAAATATACCTTGGGTCATAAGGATATTGAAGTAATTCGATAATACAGGTGCAATTACATGAGATGACTTTTTTATTACACTTATGGGAATGTCACTGGCTTTACCATTTTCGAACTCTCTTATGATTTTCAATATTTCGTTCGAGGAGCAATCTTCTAACCTAATATTTTTTTCATTTCTTGGGTTCAGGAAGTCATAGAAAGTTTTCATGGGTAATATAGGCAGGCCATTAGATAGATTATTCAGTGTCTCATTCAGCTTTGGTGCAATAGAGACAAACCAAGCATTGAATCCATTAGCAATTGCTCTTCTATCAACTATTCTTTGGTTATCAATGATAAATGGGGGCTTGGTTTGCCTCTTCTTTTTGCCTCTGAGTTCGTTAATAATTTGCCAGGTTTTCTTGCTGTTTTCACAGTTGTTTAGAATTTCGTTACAGTAATGCCAACGTTTGGCAGCTTTAATGATAGCTTTGAGCATCCTACGATAATCACTAAATACTTGGTATATAATTGACCCAAAGTTCATGCATTCTGATCAATGTGCAGATAAGGTGGTTAAAATGTCTCGAAAATACCCTATATTTGCACTAATAGGACCATTTTTAGAGCACATATTAGCTTTGTAAAGCTATAGCTGGCCATGCTGCATTATCTAGATATAACTACCAGCTCATTTATATGACCAAAAATATTGCTAAGTCCTGTGTTGCATCCAGCATGGTTAATAAAGGTCTAGAATTGACCTAAACCAATTTTTTTGGTCGTTTTAACCGCCATACAGCCACACATTTTGTTGCATTATCATTAAAATCACTTATGATCTTTCAGCTATCTCTCATAATCAAATATCAAAAAAAATAAGGCACCAAAAGTTCGGATGTTGCTGAACAATGGTTAATTTGTGATGGCTTCTGTTGACCGAACGTCCAAAATCAACACGCTTTAACCACATATCATTGAGGCCACGTCTAAGGTTTTATGGTATCGGGACCATAACTCACTATGGCTCTGAAACATGGACTGTCAGCCAGACC